CTAATCTTTTTTTTTTTTTAGTTGAACAGTTGACTAGAGCAGGGATAAAACCTACATGTACCGGTACATGTCTTCCAGATTATCACGCCGGAATGGTAATGCAAATGTCACAGGTTCGGACCCCACTCCAGTCAATATCTTTGTTCAACTATTAAAGATACAGTCCATCATTTGTAATTTGTGCATTTTGTTCGTTTGAAGCAACAAAAGTGTTCAAAATCTCATGAAGGATACTGAACAACTAACCTGATGAAGTTTCAGCTCAGTTTCAGCTGTATATTCCGTGAAAAATAGCATTCTAGGATCCCAATTTCAAATCAAAAGTTGCTAAATCATGTTTTGAATTGTTCTGAATTGCAGCTATACGCGATGTCACGCACTGATCTGACGAATTATAGCAACCGCGTGCATCGTGCAAATGCTTGCGCGCGCTGCGCCGAATAACAAAACGAACTACTAATTTAAATTTTCCTACGGTGCGTCTTAAACGCACCGTTGGAAAAGCCTTCTTTCATGGATTACTTCAAACTGATAGCTTGCCAGAAAGATTAATTTCACAGGGAGTTTAGTCCACTTACTATCTTCCAACCAAGTAATAATAATAATAGTATGTTTTTCAACAATAATATGCCAGTTACTTTTTCGGATGGCTGCAAATGATGGACTACAGCTTTAAATGCATGTAGGCGGTTGCCCCTTGTGGATTAATTGAAAATTCAATCGTTTTGGAATATAACATTTACATTGAATGAAACAGAGAATTTTATTGAGTATAGGAGAAGACTAATATTAATTCACTTGTACTTTGTCCTTAACTTCCTACCAGCACATTTTACTGAAATGAAAATTTCCAATGAAACACGTGTTTCAGGAAGGTCAGCTGAACAGTGATGTAGTGCCTTGATGCTGGGCCTTGGCCTTAAGGCTGGACTTTCGGACCTTGGCCTTGGCCTTGATGGATCAGTGCCTTGCAATTTTGAGTCAAGGCTCTTCAAGACACATAGATTTTGCATTTTCCAGATAAACATGATAAATCTGTTTTAAATTTTGCTGTTACCTTTTTTTCTAACTGATGATCAATCTGGTTGGTTGTGTATGTCTCCCTGATAAGTGCTAAAGATTTGCATGTATCTGTTTTAGGTAATGCTAATATTTCTGACCGTGTTGGCCCAGCAAATAAAAATTCCCCAAATCACTTTCTTGGATCCCCCTTTTGTTACACTCGGGAGAATTGTGCGTCAATAAAGAAGTAAATCATTATTTTGTTTTAGTTAAACCATATTCGTGAAGACCTGAACTTATACTTTAATAGATACAATGCAGTCATAAAACATTGTATGTGAGCATTTTGATTGCAATTAAAGCCAACTGTTGTTCGATTCCGATGCACATAACGGTTCCGATGCACATAACCCTAATTCTACATGTACCCGGATAGAGCTTCTAAACCAGGGTTGGATTTTACCTGTGTATGGCGCCGGACCCGTGTAGGAGCCATTGTTGGATTCTTGCTATAGTGTGAAAGAGGTTCCAGACATTTGTGTTTGACCTGGTTCCAACACAGGAATATTGAATTTAGCCAGATCGGTATTCCAACTGTGCATACATGTGTAGATCAAGATTTGAAGATTTTTCTTTCGGGATAAACATTTCATCGTATGCGTGCAAAAGCATAGCAGGGTACCAGCAAAGTAAAGAGATCATCTTATTTTGAAGTAACATTTTTTTGCACAAAAAAAACAGTTAGTTAAGGGTTTTTAGGTGTACATGTATGGTGTGTTCAATCTTTTGTGGGAACAAAAGTTTCCATCTCTTTTCAATTTCACGAAAAATAATACAAAATTCAGTTACCATGTCCCCCATAGCCTTGTGTGCATTTATCTGCCGCGTTCATCCCGAAAAAAAATCATCGAATCTTGTTGTGCACCAGTTGTTTTTTTAAATACCGAACTTGCTTATTGTGTGAAAGGCCCTAGATAATGTAACGCAGGTGTACACATGTGTACACATGTACATGTACATATAAATAATGCATGCCTTATGTACATGTACATGTAGATACATGTACATGTACATGGGTGAGTGACATGACCCACTTCCGAAACTTTTTGATGGTTAGCCACGCATAACATTCTTTTTTTTTTGCCAGATGGAACGCAGTTGGTACTGAAATAAAATGCAGTGAGGTGTAATGTGTGCTCTGATATTGAAATATCTCAGGGTCTAGGTTGCTCCGAGCACAGTGTACATAATGCACAAAGAAAAGAAAAGATAGGAAAATCTGACCTACATGTACACCATGTACGTGTAAGCTGTTGAAACCTACGAATTATGGATGCCACGCTGTCGGCTATATTTTTTTTGAAAACAAAATTGGAGGGTCTTCCATTGAACGTCTCAGTGTGCACTGTATTTTCCCAAATTTCAACAACAAACTGAAGTAAAAAGAGTTCTCTGTTTTGTGCCTGTGTTCGGCCATTTCACGCAGCCAAAATGGTGTTTCTGCCTTGTTGTAAGTACATGTACAATATCACTCATTAAGCCATGTTTTGTTATGAAAAGGAAATTGGGTTGCAGGGATTTTAACCCTAACCCACCTCACTCCTCCAAAATCCTCCTGGCGGTTTTGGAGGATTCTAGAGGATTGAGGATGAATGGTGATTGAATCAAATGAGGATTCTGGAGGATTGAGGATGAATGGTGATTGAAGCACATGAGGATTTTGGAGGATTGAGGATGAATGGTGAATGAAGCACAAGAGGATTTTGGAGGATTGAGGATGAATGCATTTTGAGGCAGGACTGTCTGATGATTTTGAAGGATTTGGCGTTGGTTATCCTTCATTTAAACACTAGTGCAAAGTTTTGGGATGAGGAGGATTTTGGAGGATTGAGGATGAATGCATTTTGAGGCAGGACTGTCTGACAATTTTGAAAAATTTAGGCGGAGTTGAAAAATTTTGGAGGATTTTGGAGGATTGAGGATGGTTGTAAGCAACAAGGGCTAATACAAGTGAAATCTGGCTGAATTCTCTCAGATCCAGTTTTTGTTGAACGGAACAGTATGGGCTCTGTGAACAAGTACCGTAGGCCTACCCCTTCAACGGCCAGAAAAGGAGAGTTCGGGGAGACCTAGACTGGTTCCCGATCCATCCTCTGCGTATTTTGAATGATCTAAAGTTGTTGGGGGCGGGGATTAGTCTGGCAGACCAATCAGACCATCGCAAGTTAAATTCGAACGTATTCGCGCGACGATGACGCCTGACGCTCACGCGAAGACGCTGTGGCTAATAGCTTTGGCACATTCAGGAAGTACAGTACAGTACGCACACACTGTGTGCACCGTCCACTGCACTTTCAAAAGTGGTAAAAACGTGCCTCTTTTGTTGGCGCACGGAGCCCAAAGAAGACGTCTTTTTGTCGTACTCTGTTTTGTTTTTACGGACAGTTTATCTTTAAAATGCATTGCAAAAGTTGGTCGGGTCAATATGTAGTTTAGTGACACACTGACGTGGCAGCTTCCGGCTGTATTGACTAGGAGGAGAAATCGACCGGCAGGCTCTTCACACATCTGATCATATTTGCCCTCGTAAAAAAAAAAAAAAACTTCACCAATAAGTGATCCGTGATAAAAATCTACACATTTACAGTGGCCAGCCTAACCTCGGGCAACGAGCTCGATGAGCTGCATGCATGCATATATTCAGGTTGAGCTTTATTTAAATTACATTTTGCAGGGTATGCCACATGTAGACTTTAGAGGCTCCAATAGTCTTGGAATAGTTGACTTATTCCATCCAGTTTTTTTGTTTGTTTGAGATCAACTTTAGGACCTAATTTCACGGAGCTACTAACCAGAAAATATTGCTGCAAAATTTTGGAAATGTTAATTGCCTTAAAATTCTAGCTTTATCTAACATCTTTCATATTAGTCAAAATTAGCCTTTTCGCACTTGTAATTTCACGGAGCTACTATTCCAGAAAATATTGCTGCACAATTTTGGAAATGTTAATTGCCTTAAAATTCTAGCTTTATCTAACATCTTCCACATTAGTCAAAATTAGCCTATTCGCAGCTGTACTACATTGGCGAAGGTTATTTAGAAATTTTTGGAAAATAACTAAAATTCACTATACACTATATAATGTTGATTGACATAGGATCGACAATGGCATAATATCGCATCGTGGTGAAATGTAATGGTGCAGACAGCTTTTTGAAATGCCATCTTGGACAAAATCACAAGCTTGTAAAAATCACACGAAAGGTCCTTTCACACTAAAAAAATATCTGCGTTTGACCTGGGATGAACCTCAGAATCTCAGGAATCCCCTTCGCACTAGCAAGAATCCAAATGGCTTTTACACGAGTCCAGTGCTCTATACGGTAAAATTTAGCCCTGATTGAGACCAGGGTATAGAGGCTCTCCCCGGGGAAAAAGTCCAAAAATCTATGGCTGACACATGTTCAAGCCCCTGACTTTTCACACCAGACCAATCTCAGGGTAGACGCAGGGTTAAAAACATGCGGCGTTTCACACTTGAAGATTTTCAACCCCTCGCCAACCCTGCGTCAACGCTGAGATTGATTTCACCCCGGGTTGACCTCAACCCTGCGCCAGTCCAGGGTGTCAACATTTTTCAACCTGGCATGCCTGGGTTTGAAACTCTCGCCAGGGTTCAAAACAGTAGTAGCCGAGCGAAAGAAGCTCGGTTTCCACAAAACAAGTGTGAAATGACACAGGGGTGGAACACAGGGTTGAACAATAAAAAACTCAACCTGGGGCTGCACTGGGTTTGCCCAGGGTTGAGTTCAACCCAGGCTGAGAGGCTGTAGTGTGAAACGGCTACGTAATGTGCCTTTTACGTTCGATCAGACCCAGTTCCACAGATGATAGACCCATGTTGATTTGAGCAGGGGTAGGCGAACTGAAAATACCTTAACATTGTGAATTCCTCAAATAAGTTTGTAAAAATCAATGCTTTTGTTTTTCTTTACAGCTGAGACCCTATCTGAAGACGAGGATGACGAGATGTGTTCACGTTTGAGTCGTCAGCGACGGGGGTCAGGGGGCTTTACCCCCACCCCGGGGGGACCCTTCTCTGCGCTCTGCCCCTCCATGTGGCCGCAGGACATACTGGCAAATCTTGCCCAGGTCAGACCAGAAATTTCTTAGAAACAAACATAGTATATAAAACCTCCGAAGCACACATTCATTCCCTTATATTACAGATTCATAGTCTTCAGTCATATGCAATAATACCATTTGAAATTTTGCACCAAAACCTATGCAATTTGGTTTTTAAAAAAATGAGTAATTTTTGTGGCTGTTTTTCCCCCAGACTGAAGATTCCGGAGCCCAGATGGATTTTCGATATGATGAGTTTGGTTTCAGAGTGGATGAAGAAGGTAGAGTACATTGTACCTGTGAAATCCAAATATGTTGAAGTATTTTTTAGTAGTTTTGAAAGAATTTGAGACATGTTGCATGTTAATTCTGATGCTCTCCTTAATGCAGTCATCTTCCAAGAGTGATTTTGAATAGCAAACTACCTTGAGACCCAACAAATATACATTGATTTGAAGTCATTTGTAATGCCACTTGAATGATAAATTGCAAAGTACCAAGGTAACAGGGACAGGAAAATGTCTCACTTTGGACCCTGGAATTTTTTATAATTTATAGAATGACCAATGTACATGAAGCAACTGTATTTGCTGCGTCAGAGAGAAAAGGTGATGGTTTATGGATTAAAATGCAACCCTTTCAAGTGTCTGTTTATGAATACCACTCCAGAACTACAGTTGCATGTGACTGCATTTCTCTGCTTATTTTATTTTTATTTAGACGGAGCAGAGCCCAACTCAAGTAAGCTACTGAGTCAACCCTTCATTGAGGACCCTCAGCATCGCTTGAAGTGGACGGCCTACTTTGAATTTGCCCACAATCAGGACGTAGGCAATCTCACATGGGATAAGGTACGTGTATGACCAATTTATCAGGGATTCGTAAGTACTTGCGATAGTTTACCCATTCCTATTGGTTGAGAGCCCGTCACGTTGGTGGTTTTAAGCCGCTGGTAAAAACACCGCTGCATTCTGCGCCACGTCGTGCAGTACGCACCCCGATTGCACCAATTTCCATACGAGGAGACTTTTGCGCACGAGGCACATACCATAGACATGGACAGAGAGGTGTTTCACAAGACATAAAGTGAAATTGTTAAATAAAATTGTTGGAAATTTGTGAAAGTTTGACTTGTTTTGACCTTATGACCGGAAGGTATTGATGAATGGGAATATTTAGCCTATCTTTTCAACATTGTTTTCCACTTAAAGCTACAGTCCATCATTTGTAATTTGTGCATTTTGTTCGTTTGAAGCAACAAAAGAGTTCAAAATCTAATGAAGGATACTGAGCAACTAACCTGATGAAGTTTCAGCTAAGCTTCAGCTGTACATTCCGAGAAAAACAGCATTCTAAGATCTCAATTTCAAATCAAAAGTTACTGAATCATGTTTTGAATTGTTTTGAATTGCAGCTATACGCGGCGTCGCGCACTGATCCGACGAATTATACCAACCGCGCGCGCGTGTGCGTCGTTCCAATACTTGTGCGCGCTGCGCTGAATAACAAAACGAACTACTAATTTAAATTTTCCTTTGGAAATGCCTTCTTTCGTTGATTACTTCAAAATGACAGCTTCCCAGAAAGAATAATTTCACAGGGAGTTTAGTCCCCTTACTATCTTTCAACCAAGTTTGTTTTTCAACAGTAATTACGCCATTTACTTTTCGGATGGCTGCAAATGATGGACTATAGCTTTAATAAAGGGATGTTTCTCCCAACAATTTAAGAGCAAACTAACAGCATGCAGCTTTCATCTTGCTTCAGATATCTAATGTCCCACTTTGGTTGCCAGTATTGTGTCCTTACACACATGTACGCTGGCAGTTGCAGTACAACAAGTTATTTTTTACAGGTAGGTCGCAATGTGTTGCTGGCAATCAGGGGCTTTGATCTTTGCCATTTGACGTAGTTGGTCGGCCAGCACAATAATTTTTTTGTTCATTCTTACCGTGCAACGATAAGCAGTAAATCCTTTCAAAGGGCTCGTTGTTGGGGATGAACGCCGTCATTCTGTTTGACGTCAAAAGGGTCTTCCTGTTTACAGAAAGGATTGTCAAATACATTGGGGTTATTTGCATACAAGTATACAGTTACTGATAACAGAGCTTAAATGGTCTGAGTATGCGTGGAATGGTTGAATATATGACAACAGTTGATAAGGCATGAATCTTGTCTACGATTTTATCTGAGAATCAATTTGTATAAAATAATCCAGTGCATTCAAATGACTTTTTACAATGCTGTTCATCATCACAAAGTAGAAGATGAATTGAAGTTATGATATTAGTGTTTTTTCTGCTGTAGTATTTTAATCTAATTTTAAAGCAGTTACTTGTACATGTATGTTTCTCCCTTTCCCAATTTAATATCAATTTCAGTCATACTCATAGAGCTACATTAAATTACTAGAGCGCTGACTCCTCATTCTTACGTGCAGAGATACTTTGGATCCTTCCTGCCCACAGACATTTTAAATTCATGTGCGTGTTTGTAAAAGATAATGAAATTAGACGGAGTGAATTTTGAAAGTGTACCTAAAATGCAACGCGCAAGTATATGCAAACAACTGAAGCGTGTCATGACAGTTAAAAGACGTCACGGCAAAAATCATCTGCAGCGGATATGCGCATGTGTTTGCATTGTTCGCGCAGAGCAAAATGAAACGCTCATTTTCTGATTGTGCATTTCAGTTTTGGGCGAATTGGCTTCGATAACGCACCTGTATGGAATACAAACGCAGATATGCAAATAGCTGTACAAAATGCGTACCAAATTTCGAGTATTCCATAGGATTGAGTACAAACATGGTTGGGCCCAGTACATCGAGTCAGCGCTCTAGTAATTTAATATAGCCGTATGGTCATACTTCATCATCCTTCATGAGGAACTTTATTTTTTCACTAATTTTTCCTGCAATTTTGTTTTTTTGTTTTTTTGTATAGTTCTGAACAGTATTTCAGTGGTATAAATTACAGATAGCTGTGTATTGGGCAAAATCCATCATTTAAAAAAAAAAAAAAATTTATTTGACATTTAAATGCTGTGATTATGCACAAATTGACTCAGTCGTAACTGTGAGCTTTGCTCCCTTAATCCACCATGCACAATAACTGATAACCAACACACACATATTTCATTCTGATGGGTTTTAAGCGTCCTTTAAAACAACAGCTGTTTCCTGTGTTATTTGCATTTGTGTTGAAAGAATCCTGACTTTTCAGTGTAGCCCACGTTAACACAGTAATCTATTGACAAATTGCTGCATAAAAGTCATCTTTGTTGCAAAACTAATACATCTCTATCCGGGTGCAGTTTTAACATGTTTAAACCAAAATTCCAGACTAAATATTTGAGAGTGGGAACATGTACAGTGAAGTAAAACCATTTATTATGAGCCTAATTCAATTTTAACCTGATTTTTTCTTATGCAAACATATTTTAAATAATTTTAATTTAATTTCATTAATTAATTTATTGATTTGTTTGTTGATTTAATTTCATTTATTTATAAGTTTAAAGCTATAGTCCATCATTTGTAATTAGTGCATTTTGTTCGTTTGAAGCAACAAAAGTGTTCAAAATCTAATGAAGGATACTGAACAACTTACTTGATGAAGTTTCAGCTCAGCTTCAGCTGTATATTCCGAGAAAAACGGCATTCTAGGATCTCAATTTCAAATCAAAAGTTGCTAAATCATGTTTTTGAATTGTTTTGAATTGCAGCTTTACGCGATGTCGCGCACTGATCCGATGAATTATAGCAACCGCGCGCGCCTGTGCGTCATTCCAATGCTTGAGCGCGCTGCGCCGAATAACAAAACGAATACTAATTTAAATTTTCCTACGGTGCTTCTTTAGACGCACCGTTGGAAATGCCTTCTTTCGTTGATTTCTTCAAAATGAGAGCTTGCCAGAAAGGATAATTTCACAGGGAGTTTAGTCCCCTTACTATCTTTCAACCAGTATGTTTTTCAACAATAATTACGCCAGTTACTTTGTTGGATAGCTGCAAATGATGGACTCGGGCTTTAATGCACATATATGCAAACGGCTGTCAAATGCAAATGGCTGTCACAGTTACAATGCATGCCTACATAAAGATTTAAGGCTGTGCATATATGCAATGTGTACCAAATATATGATTACTTGATCATCAACCGAATATCCTAAAAGCACATTTTTTTTTCAAATTCAAATACTCAAGGAGATGATGAAAAAGGTCCGTGATGTAATTTTAAGGGGGCCCCCCCCAAAAAAAAGAGTAATTCTGCTTCCGATTACATGGCATTTGAAAATAGGGTAGGTACCGTAGGTATGGAATTTTTTTTGGAATTTTTTATTGTGTACAATCATATGGAGGCGTCTACATGTAGCCAAGGGTAAAAGGTAGAAATTGCTGGTTTGGGGTATTTTTTTCTCGTTTTTCCAATAAAACAATTAGGGTAGGGGCTGTCAGAATAGGGTAGGTAGGGAAACCGGAAGCAGAACTATTTTTTGGGGGAGGCCTAATCGTATATTGCATGGTTTTACTAGAGAGGTTTCGCATGCAAACAGATACGTTTAGTGCGACGGATACCTCATCAGTTATGACGTCATACGCCACTCACTATCCGCTAAACGTGCAGACGACACGCATATCTCGCTCGCTACACGTAAGTAAAAAACGGATACGGATAGCTAAACGTAAGTGTAGGCGTATCCGTTCGCTTGCGAAACCTCCCTAATGTTTCTCAAATTCAACATGTCTGTCAAACGCAACGATTTCAGAGCTTCCATGAGGAATGTCAGCTCAAATTTCTTTTAAAAATCTGTTGAATATCATCCATTCCTCTTCTTTATTGTCATTACAGTAACCTCTTCATTAATTTTTCACGCACAAATCTTGATCAGATATTTGAATACTCGATCAAGTCCAAGTTGGAATAATCAAATACAAAATTATTACAAAAATCACAGCCCCGATATGCCTGTGCCAAACATTTGACATTTCACATCGTTAAAATTCATGCTCACACATCTCGACATCAGCAAGTGCATACGATGATTTTTACTGGTACATATCTGAAGGGTTTTTTTTTTTCTTCAGAGATTGTGTGATTGTGGGTTGTGTCTTGCCCTCAGCTGTTTGTCTAGTCTTCTGTCTTCTGTTCCCAATCAATAATCTCTCTCACTGTCGAGCACCTGTTTTCATCCAATCCTGCCTCAAAGCCATAATCGGCACACTTACTTGTGTTTGTGGTTTTTAATTTTGGGGTCTGTGGGAGTGATAAACATCAAAGTCATTCGGTGATGAATTTGACGACAAGTGCATACATGTAGTTGACAGTATTCATGCGTAGAATTTCAGTGTTTTTGTCAATGTCGTTGTTTAGTTAATGGTTTTCTTAATTGAAAGTTTTGGAATGCACTACGTATTTGTTATACAATGTAACTTAACATTTTATATTTCACTTGAACCATAAGTTGCATGATTTTTTATCAACAAGTGTTACTTAAATTCAATTGAATTTAATCTTAACCTTATACGACCTGATTCATTTAACATGTGCAATGACTTTTTTCCCTTCAAAATTGCATACAATTATTTTTTTTTCATTTAGTAAGTGCCAAGTCCCAGGCTAACAGCCAAAAAAAAAGGCGAACAAGTACCTACATGTTAGAGGCATTTCTAGCATTGTTATTGTAACAAGTATCCTGTTCATTTCTTTATATGGCCAGGTCTCAAATCGTAATTGCTGGAATAACCTTAGCCTGTGCAATTTGTGAAAATTAATTGAATTGTTCACCTTGTTAAAGGCACGTACATGTAGAAACTTTGTAATTACCTGGAAACGTACATAATGAGAAAATTCTTGCTGGAAGTGAAGATACGACTGGTACCAAATGCCCTGTGAAACTATTTTGTCTAAAATGGTATCATTTGGAAGAAAACAATAATTGAAGGTGGTTTAATAAGTGTGTCAGCTGGCACAGTTTTGCATGTGCGTAAGCAGCAGAATCCTGTTACATGTACCAGACCCCTAACATTGTGCATATATTTTTTGTCAAAATGCACAGTATCCACTGAACTGAAACTTCAACAAGTTAGTTGTTGAGCAGCCTTCTTAACATTTTGAGCAAATTTGTTGCTTCAAATGGGGGAAAAAAATTGCACAAAAAGAAAATGATCCTATGTACCTGTTTAAGTCTCATGATGGAAAAGAGATGATCATGTATCATGCAGCATTGGAATTAAATTATTGAATTTTTCTCGCATCTCCAAACAAAAAAACTTATAATTGTTTACACTGTTTGCACGTATCACTCCAAGTACATGTAACTTTGTATTGAGAAAACCATACTGAATCAACTATTTAAAAAAAAATCTTTGTGTTTGTCTTTTCATACAGCTTGAAAGCAGACTACCCCACACGGAGAAGTTGCGTCACCTGGTGCGCGAGGGGATCCCCCACAGTATGCGCCCCAACCTGTGGATGAGACTGTCTGGTGCCCAGCAGAAGAAAGAGAACAGCGAAACGTCTTACAAGGTGACACACCTACACCATGTTTTGGATTTAAGATTTAAGCTTTAGAAGTGACAAAATGTCCAGACCATAAAAGCTGTGTACAGAAGTCTATGGGATTTTGGTTAGAACAAAGACAACCCGCTAATAACTAATCATGTAACTAGAAAGTGGAAATATGTACATTGACCCTAACTCCCTTGGCATTTTTTGGGATGCAGCCTCAATCCTGCAAAATACTCCATCTGCCTCCATAAGCATGCATACAATGTACAGCCTCAGTCCTCAAAAATCATCCGTTGTTTCTTGAATGTGGTCCTTGGAGGGGTGACCACTCCCTCACTGCGAAATCCTCTAGCAATCACTGTCAATATGTTGAGGCAGAGCCAGTGACATCCTGGAGCAGTGCAGAGAATTTCAAGTATAATGTAGGCCTGAATTTATGCATGGCTCAGCATAAACAACACAAGGTCCGGCCCATTAGACCTTGACACAGTGCATCCTGCAAAAATCAGCCAAACATTTTTGCCATATAGCCTCAGTCCTGCAAAATCCAACATTTTGCGAAGATTATTTGGGAGGGTTTGGGAAGGTTAGGGTTAAGTACATAGGCGAAAGGATAGAATTCTGTGTTAGTAAACGCAACTTTCACGCATCGGTCCTGCTGTCTGAACAGTCACAGACGGTCAAAAAACACAATCCTGTTCCCTTGCCATGCCTTTACAGAAGCTAGTCACCAACAGTCGGAATGTCGGGTCATATTTTTAGCTAGCACTGTGACTTGTCAAATTCTGTCAACAGACGGTCACATGTAGGCGAGCCACTGCACATTGAACTTGCTCTGTCAGGTTATTGAAAATACCAAAGACAATAACTTGAATAAATGACATTACCTCAAACCCACAAGTTGAGTGTATATATTTTTATGCTGTGTGTATTTAAACATGCTTTCATTTGTTTCTGTTGCACAGGAAATTATCAAAGCCAGCACAAACGATCACTCGCTGACTGCCAAACAGATTGAAAAGGTAAGGACTTGAAAGTTACTCGCTGTTTCTGACCACAAGAGGGCCCTATTTCCCTTGACCTTTGGCCTTGGAGAAATAAGGCCCTCTAGTGGTCACTCAGCGCATAGACGTACATTAGTGCCCTCATTGCCAGTCGATAGGTGTATATGTTCGTGTTAGATTACTTCCCCCACTCTTACTCGTGCATGCGGTCGATTTAACTCTCACATAACTTCTCATGCTTTCTTGAGCCTGGCCCAAGTAACCGACCCGCTGAGCCGGTTACTTGGGTAAGTATCCCACAAAACAATGCGAAAACATGGCGGCTAAGTCTAACCCTGGCAGCGGCGGGGGATTCAAAAGTATCTCAGCTTCACTTCACACTATTCCTAGATGACGGGAGGAAAGTTAAGCTAATTTTAAACATACACCCGGCATGTCTTGTTCACTTTGGAAGAGCACGTACCATGGCCACTTGACCCGGTCCAGTTGCTATGGCTCGACCTAAAGTAACAAAAGATCGTTGGTTTATTGCTACAGATTGCACATGTGCATTTATACCCAAGACGAAAGTGTTGTTAAGGCGAGGGAAGTAATCGAACGTGATGGTTGTGCCTTTCTTTTCTATTATCTCCCCCAGGATCTTCTACGCACTATGCCCAGCAATGCCTGTTTCTCTTCCAGTAAGAGCACCGGTGTGTCCCGCCTGCGGCGCGTTCTGCGAGGCATAGCCTGGCTCTACCCAGACATCGGCTACTGCCAAGGAACAGGAGTGGTAAGCTTTTAATTTTTTTTTTATTTATTCCAAGTTGACAGTAATAATGTGATGCTTATAAAAATATAGGGCTCGCTCAATGACGGCCATCTCTGTAGGAGAACTGCAACAGCATATTTTACGCAATCAAGCACGCATTGCGCAGTGTTGAAAATGTTCCAAACACGCGCTTGTTGCTCGAAATGTGTTCGAAATACGACGCAGCCGATGCACATTATGCAAGGTGACGCTCAAAATGCCGATGCACGTGGATGGTCTGTAGGAAATGACGTCATTTGAACAAGACCTATAGCGCTTTTATTCCAAAGTCTCGAGGCGTTATGTGCTGTTCATCATGCCATGAGACCAGTTTCTTCCGCAGCTCAAGATTAGTGCAATCTGGCCTCTAACCCTCACAGGTACTTATTTGTACTCCTGGGTGGAGAGAGGCAATTGTAGTAATGCATCTTGCCCAAGAACACAAGTTCCCTGTCTGGGTTCAAATCCATGTACAATGAGTCAGTACGGTAACACGGCCCATAACTGTCATGTTTTCCCATTATTCTTAATACGTTTTGTCGTATTTTTTTCAGATCGTAGCATCGTTGCTGCTTTTTATGGAGGAGGAAGAAGCATTCTGGATCATGTGCGCAATCATTGAGGATCTGGTGCCGGCCTCTTACTACTCCAGCACACTGCTCGGTGTACAGGTAAACCATATCTCAAACCAATACTAAATTGGTATCAATCACAAATTTCTTTTTTGAGGCTTCGAAATGTATGTGTGGTATTTCACATAAACAGTGAAGGACGATAAACTTTTCGAGTGTACGCGGAGGATGTTGATTGTATATATGTATGGCCTTTCAAGGCAGACACTTTTGGGGCCCTGCATTGTGAATTACTCCTATTGTCTTTTGTTTATTTTGAAGGCTGACCAGAGAGTGTTGCGTCAGCTGATGGTCAGTTTCCTTCCAGAGTTAGATCAGCAGCTGAAGAGCCATGATATAGGTAGGTTACACAACATTGGTTCCATTTCGTACATCTCTAGAATCATGAGTATGCATGTTTGGGTCGTTATAAAGGAAGTAACGAATAGTTCAAAATCTGGGGATGCAGATATATCATACATCTCAGTATAACATTGCCTTGGTTTCCTGATTCACAGCGCGGGTCATTGAGAACTGCTTGCTAGTCCCCAACGTCTTCAAGAGAAATGTCAAAGTTTCTACCTTCAATTTATTTACTTTAAAGGGAAAATACAACATTTGCAAACATCAAAAAATAAAACTACCAAATCATTTTGAAATACCTTGCTGGACTCTTAGTGAATGACAGTGTAAAGCATCCTGTAAAATCATGGCACCTGGTATACTGTCATTTTCAAGAAGAGTGTTATTTTTGTATCAATTTCCAACGCTGATCAGCCGATCAGCGTTGGAAAAAACTGGCTTTTTTTCAAATACTGGCCCCAGTTGACCATCGCACTTGTTTGCAATCGATTACACACCTATGAACGGGTACAAGCCAGCTAGACTGGTTCCCTGACCTTACAATTCCCCAATATATGTAAACTACTCTGTTTCTTTTTAAATGGAGTCAGGGAACCAGACTACAGGAATATGATTGTTTTTCTTGGTTTTTATAGCATTTTCGAACCCAAAACCTCAAAAAAGTCAGTGTAACTATATTTGCTATATATTTCCAACCCCCCAATTCATCCATTTCTGAAAATTACAGCAAAAGCAAATGATGTATATTCCCTTTAATTTCATAAGGTTTCATAAAAAGATTTGTTTTCCTTTGTACTTTACTAGTGTTAGTAGGTTTTTTCCCCTAATAACTTTTTATACTGTGTCAGGGCCCAATGTTTTATAAGTGAGGAAGCTATCATGCTAAAAAAAAAAAAAACTCACAGTAATTTGATTGAAGCAATTGTTATTTTTTTTTTCTACTCACTACGTCTTTTTTAATAATTTGTTAACTATAGAGCTATCCCTGATCACCCTTCACTGGTTCCTGACGGTGTTCGCCAGCGTGGTTCACATCAGGGTGCTGCTACGTATCTGGGACATGTTCTTCTACGAGGGCTCCATCATTCTCTTCCAAGTCACCCTGGCCATGTTTAAACTAAAGGTCCGTTATCAGATCGTTTTAACATCGCTATCCCCCAAATCCAAACGGGAAAAGCAGGAAGAAAGTTTGTAAGAAACCAGTAACAGCTTTTGTCAAACGCTAAGTTGACATACAATTCTTTGGTCTGATAAAAAGATGCTGGGCAACACTATCTAAAGAGAATTTTCTCCTTTATATGTATTTAAAAAACAGAGATTACCGTTTAACTTTTCAAAGCTTGCATGACCTCATTTGAATGCTATCTTGGACATACTTCCCAGCACAGTTTGGAAGTCGCCGCAAAAATGTGAGGCGTTCTGGCAAAAGGAGACGGAACTGGGCAGAGGTGGAAAAGGGTTTTGTGGGTATTAGGAAAGAGAATAAAATTCTTCTTACAATACTGTTAGATGCACTTCAATCGGACATTCTGTTGACAAGTTATGGCTGTTTAAAGTTCGCATTTATCGACATGTCAACAAAAGGTATATACAGAGAAAAAGGCCTTTAAAGTTTTGAGTTTTGTATTCATGAAAATGAAAGATGCCAATTGTTTTTCCTTAAAAACACTATCATTTCACAATTTTTGTACTGTTTCATTAAAATATGTGTAGTAGACATATCCAAGATTACATATCAATCAATCTGAAAATTGGAAACAAAGTCACCCCATTGGGTTTTGTGTATATTTCTCCACTACGGCCTGTGCCCAGATCCGTCTCATTTTGTCAGAACGCCTCGCAAATTTGTTTTTCAAATTTGCAGAGCATGAACACATTTCAACTTGCCATATTTTGCCCCTGAAGCTTCTTGAAGTCAAATTTGCTTTGCATAAATGTGCATATATTTTAAAGCAGCTTAATTATTATTTTTGTCGTCAACTTTCTCAGGACGAGGACCTTCTGAAGCTGGAGAACTCTGCTCAGATTTTCAACGCTCTCTCAGACCTACCTGGAGAAATGGAAGATGTGGACAAGCTGATAGAGGTTTGTGACTCTTCTTTGCGATTTTTCTAACTTCATACAACTCCTTGAGAGTTATATATTTTTTGATAGTTTTGAACCAATTATTTCATTCCTTACGGCTCCAGCAAGCAATATAGTGTTAGGGAATATTCATGTACCGGTAAATTAGCAATATATATTTTATTTATATATTAGTATATTAGAATTATCCTGTAATGATCTTTTATTATTACCGTAACAGGCCGAATCACTTGAAATGACGTAAGCTTACCTCTACCCTAACCTAACTCTCGCGGCATTTTTAGTCAAGAATCTTCCTGAATCCTACAAAATCCTCTACTTTGTAGGAAACCTATGATATATTCTTTTCTACCCTAACTTGTGGTGGTTTTTGAAGGTTCTGGAAGGGTTCTATTACATTTTTCGGATTCTTTTCTCTTTTAAAAAAAATTGACAGCGGAGTTTTCACATACAAAAGTAAAGTTACGTATTGAGAAGGGGAATGTTAATGTTTGGTTTCCTAAGTGGTGGTGGAAAGATAATGTTTTCGATGCTTTCGTGGTGGGTAAAACATTCTTCACCTCAATTCCATTTTTGTGTTACAGGCGTGCCTATATGTAATGTATTTTCAGCTCAATATTTCATCATTTAGGAAAATGATGTGCACAGACTAAAAGTTTCTTCATGCCCTCAAAAGCTGTGCAAGAACTGAACTTCAATATTAGGTTTTGCCCTTCACCGTCTGTCGTGGCTCAGATAGCATATTAAAATGAAAAAAAAAGTTGACCTAGTGCGGTGCATATTAACTGTTTTATCAGAGTATTTTATGCTTTTAAAGGGAATATACATCATTTGCTTTTGCTGTAATTTTCAGAAATGGATGGAATTGGGGGGTTGGAAATATATAGCAAATATAGTTACACTGTCTTTTTTGAGGTTTTGGGTTCGAAAATGCTATAAAAACCAAGAAAAACAATCATTTTCCTGTAATCTGGTTCCCTGACTCCATATAAGAAGAAACAGAGCAGTTTACATACATTGGGGAATTGTAAGGTCAGGGAACCAGTCTAGCTGGCTTGTACCCGTTCATAGGTGTGTAATCGATTACAAACAAGTGCGATGGTCAATTGGGGCCAGTATTTGAAAAAAAGCCAGTTTTTTCCAACGCTGATCGGCCGATCAGCGTTGGAAATTGATACAAAAATATCACTTTTCTTGAAAATGACAGTATACCAGGTGCCATGATTTTACAGGATGCTTTACACTGTCATTCACTAAACAGTCCAGCAAGGTATTTCAAAATGATTTGGTAGTTTTATTTTTTGATGTTGTATTTTCCCTTTAACTGTTTTATCAGAGTATTTTATGTTTTTAAAGTCTTTAAAAGTAGTGTAGAGTAACTTTCTTTTTTTTAGATACCTTAAGGGTCATGCATAATTATGGGCATGTGTGATGCGATCAAGCTAAATGAGTCATTTGCCGGGAATTTCTATTTGGAGATACAAGCCAGAGTTCGCCTTGTTGAGGCGTCATGATTTTTGTGAAAGATCATCTGAAAGCCCACTAAGAAATATACTGAATATTACAACAACAAAACTGAACCAAAAACACACGTGGGTATTTAACACCACCCCGAGTGTACGTTTTCTGTGCTTTTGAAAATTTTGATTATTATGGATGACCGCTTTAATAGTGAAAAGAAAATCTTTCATAAGGCCAAAAAAAAAAAGTCTCCGGTTTCTGGTATGCGCGCGCGTCGCCATAGCCATGCGCGTCAGCAAAATGAAAAAGGTTTTTTTTTAATGAAAGATGATGTCCCAAAACCGCCAAACTCACTGGTTTGACTGGAATACTGCTGCTGCACAATTTTAACGTGTTTTTAGATTGGGTTATGGTCGAGAATAAGCTTTATGTGGCCTCTCTGGACTCCCATATATTTGCACTAAGTTTAGTCGGGCACCATTTACAGTCATCAGCACACATTTGAAGCAAAAAAATCAGGTAAAAAAAAAGCCGCGTCGCCGCATCACTATTTGGGCAAGCTCCATACCAGAAACCGGAGATTTTTTTTTTTTTTTTGGCCTAACTGCTGACTGTTAGACTGTCATTGAACAATAGAGGGCTCTCTTCACTTCAAGTGCGAGCAAAAGCTGTTATCAGTACAGAAACATGTATATCTGTGTGGAATGGCGACACCTGTTGAGTTGTATTACAATCGATGATGTCACAGATTGATTCGCTTGTCTGCCTCGCATAATTAAGCAAACAGATGGTTCCATGGATTATGCAAATCAGGCTCGTACCATTCTGGATAAGGGGGACACAAATATTCCTAGAAAATATTAACCCTCCTACACAATACAAACACATATGAATTAAATTTTATGTTCAAAATAAACATCACCTCATAATCATATATGATTCATTGTTGGCTAGCCCGCAAATGCAACATACTGCACACCTATAAATTTCGGAATAGTCCCGGAATATGCTAATTTATTGTCCCACTGGCCACGTGGACAACAATAGCATATTGAATAATTGTACATGTATATCATCCAGTGCTGTTGTTTTTAATAGCTAGTAGAATTGGACTGTATTGCTATATGTGGGACGTCGTACAAGGGAATGTATTTTGTATGGCCTCCGTACAGACTAGGATGGTACACAAGAAGCAGGCACTAGTTCCAGTTTGTTACCAGCAGGTATTTGTACACAAATGCTTAGGAGTGCACTAACCAATATTAAGTTCAACTATACTACATCTAATAATAATGTGTGGTGCTTATATAGCGCATATATTATGCTTATGTACATGTAGGTCTGAAAGCGATTCACATTTTTTACCGCTGTTCAACAGGCAATGAGACCACATTTTCTGCCGCTGAGATCAGTGCAATCTGGTCTCTACCCTCACTGGTACTCATTCATACTCCTGGGTGGAGAGAGGCGATTGTAGTAAAGGGTCTTGCCCAAGGACACAATCACTAAGTTCCCCGTCAGAGTTTGAACCCACGTACCATGGCACATGAGTCGAACACCGTAACCACTGGACCACAGCGCTTTATGTTTAATATACTATAGGGTTTTCATTATGTAAAAAGTAATAGTGTACTGACTGTGTATGGGTTATGTGTGTGTGTGTTTGTCACTACGGTATGAACCAGGGGCTACTTTTTTAGGCCGTATATCTGCTACCCCATGCTGAACAATTGCACAGTTCTGCAACCTTAAAACCTGTAGGCCTAAATGTATATATTTTTGGCACTTGGGAAAAACTTTAAAAACCTATATTTTGATTTTCAAAACCTATTTAAAAACCTTCATTAATGAAGAGGGGCACTGTGAGGCCACCCATTCTGGAATTTGTATTCTTGTGGAGACATTTCTTTGTTCTCGTGTAGTAAAGTTTTCGAGTTTGAAATTGAAGTTTCAAAATGCTCTTATTTTAACCAGAATTAATTTCCTGGGCTGAAATTTGGACTAAATATCCCTTTTCTAAAACTCTTCTATTTGTGACAGATCAACCTACCTTGGAAATTCCTAGTTTTTGAGTAAAATCCATATATCTATTTCGTGAAATTCTTGTGGAGACGTATTCATCTATAGAAATGTTCTTGTGGAGACGTATACAATCTTTTGTTCCCTATTGTGTGAATGTCCCCGTAAGGTAGTAAATTCCAGCACTGTGATATTCAATATCATAAGTTCATGTATAACCTTATCTTGTTGTCAGTGTTTATATGAAGTGACAAATCTCGCTTCACCGACATGTAACACACACAATTCGTCACTTTGACATTTTTGTGTGTGACTGTACAACCTTAAAAGTGGTAATGCATGAACACTTGAGTTCCCCGTAAAAATATGTAACACTGACAATTGTTGTGAGATGTCGTAAGCAAGTCTTAACGTATTGTTAGATTTGGAAAGAATGTTGTATCCAGACGCCACTTCTTTGGTTGTGTACAAAAATCTGTCATGTCTGTGGAGAGTCAAAGTATTTTCAAACAAAATTGGAAATGTTTCTCAGTCCCAGATAATGCATGTCTTTTCTTCATTTTTGCAATGACTGACCTTCATTGAGATGATGTATGGTGAAAAAGGTGGCGTCAGGATGCAAGGTTTTTTCCTTAGATTTGTTTGTTTGTACATGTAGAGATATGGTTAACCCATTAGAACATTGTATGTGATTGTATTTCTTTACTCCATAGAAACCATAGAGAACTGGGGTGGTTTGGGATGGTACAGGGAGTGACAGGCAGGGTAGGTTGTGGGGGCGGGGTGGGCTGTTAAACAGGAAGTAACAGGAAGGATGGTTTTTGGGCGATATAGGAACTACTATGAAATCAGAAGTTGTAATGCTGTCGTAACACAATGTCCTATCTATGGCCCAGCAGCTAGCGGAAGCCATATCGATAGCCATACCCTGGTGTATGCACACAGCTTGCCTGCTGTGTGGGGTAAGTCACATTAAGCATCATTACAGAACCACTAAAACAGAAAAAATAATTGCTTAGTAAGTTGCTTAGCGAAAAGTAGGCTGCTAAGTGAAAATCAGGTTGGAACCAGCTAAAAGCAGTGTATAGCACATTACATTGTATTGTGGCTGGTAACACGCTTTTGCTAAGCGAATATTTTCTGTGCTAAGCAAAATTTCTGTGCTTAGTGAAAATCAGGTGGGAACAAGTAATAGAAGTAGCATATATCGAGTGACATTTTGGCTGGTAATCCGCTTTTGCTAAGCAAATATTTTCTGTACTTTAGCAGTTCTGTGAAATTGGCCCCAGATTTACTACTAAAGCCCTACCATCACTGGCCATCTAATTGTGTCTGTCCTCATTGGGGTTAAAGGTTAAAGCATCAAGGGTCAAGTTGAAAAAAATGGCTTAAACCACTTTGGCAAGCGAGGGAATGCTAAACGACACGCACCATTTCATTTGTATATTTTTGATTAATATCAAAGTTTTTTTGTTGTTGTTAATACATCATGTGCACGTGAACAAAATATGTTAGAATTTTTTTGATTTTGAGTTTTTAACGAAGCTTTGGCATTCAATGCGAGGCACGATTCTGCATGTATGGGCTGCCTGAAAATCTCATGAAATGTGGGCTTTGCTGATTTCTGTTGGCTTTTGCGTCCATATTGAAATGAATAACATGTTTATATTCGCCATCTCTATAAATTTGGGAGGAAAATTGTTTGCAATGATTGCACGTACTTCACAACTTTATATGAAAGGAAATTCATCTTTAAATTTTTGTTGGTTCATATGTTGATTCATGTGTTGCTTTCAGCAGCTTTTCAAATTTAGTTTCGTGCAAATTGTTTTATTCAATTCAATTTTAACAGCTAACAAAATACACCAATTTCTGGTATTAACAAAATTTGATGCTGTGTTCTTTATCTCGGAGAGAAGAAAAAACAAAAGCGAAATCAAATTCTAATAAAGAAACATCATTGCGAAAGAAATTGTATAGCCAGAATAATTGATTTGAAGAAGTTGCCTCGCGCATCTGCTCTGTGTAATAGCGCCCTCGCTTGTCAATAAGGTTTACGGTGGAGAGTGAGTGGTAGTAGAACTGTTTAGTGAGGGTATCGGGCACACAGTAGTAGTCTGGTGGACGGTCCAACAGTTTTCTTTGTCCTGAAGGACCAGTAAAAACATCCAAATAACAGCTATTTTCTTTGCAGGATACTTGCATCACAGTAGCTTTATATGGCTTGGTGGTTGAGTGGTTAAGACATCTGCACTAGTAAACAAAAGGTTGTGGGTTCGAGTCCCACCCAAGCAAGCTTGTGATTTTTTTTCACAAAACCTCTAAAACAGCAGAATACCTCCATGTTTTATCATAAGGAGAGCTTTGTATGGCTTGGTGGTTGAGTGATTAGGACATCTGCACTAGTAAACCAAAGGTTAGAGTTCAAATCCCACCAAGGCAAGCTTGTGAATTGTTTGAAACAAGCTCTAAAACAGCAGAATACTTCCATATTTTATCATAAGGAGAGCTGTACATGGCTTGTTGGTTGAGTGATTAGGACATCTGCACTAGTAAAGCAAAGGTTGTGGGTTTGAGTCTCACCAAGGGAAGCTAGTGAACTGTTTCACAGAAGCTCTAAAACAGCAGAATACTTACATGTACATATTTTATCTTCAGAGCTCTGTATGGCTTGGTGGTTAAGTGATTCAGACATCTGCACTAGTAAACCAAAGGTTGTGGGTTCAAATCCCACCAAGGCAAGCTTGTAAATTGTTTCACACAAGCCCTAAAACAGCAGAATACTTTCATATTTTATCATAAGGAGAGCTGTGTATGGCTTGGTGGTTGAGTGGTTAGGACATCTGCACTAGTAAACCAAAGGTTGTGGGTTCAAATCCCACCAAGGCAAGCTTGTAAATTGTTTCACACAAGCCCTAAAACAGCAGAATACTTCCATATTTTATCGTAAGGAGAGCTTTGTATGGCTTGGTGGTTGAGTGGTTAGGACATCTGCCCTAGTAAACAAAAGGTTGTGGGTTCGAATCCCACCTGAGTAGGTTTTAAATTGTTTGTCATTCTCTCAAACAGCAGAACACTTCCACGTTTTGTTGTAAGTAGAGCTTTGTACGGCTTGGTGGTAAGTGAAGTGGTTGAGATGTCTGCACTAGCAAGCAGGAGGTTGTGGGTTCGACTCCCACTGGAGCAAGTTTAAAAAAAAAATTTACTAGCTCTCAAATAGTAGAATACTTCCATAGTTTATAGTATTAGGAAAGCCACATATAACTTGGTGGTTAAGTGGTTGAGATGTCTGCACTAGTGAGCAGGAGGTTGTAGGTTCGAGTCCCACCCGAAAATGAAGGTGTGCTCATCGAACACACAAGTATGAAGTGTATCAAACGGGATATTTTAAGATGTTTTTTTTTTCATGGTGGTAACAGTGTTTATATAATGTATATTGCATTGTTGTAGAAGAATTTATCATATTTCAAACTTTTTTTTTTAAAGGGGGTGGGGTTTTTAAAGGTGTCTGATGTTTCCAAGATTTTATATTTTGTGTTATTTCATGTATTTTCTTGGTTGTATTTGACTACTTGTGCCTCCTGTATTTGGAAAAGAATATAGGTTTTCCCGGCTATTTCAAAACATTTATCATTCGAATTCACCGTTTCTAATATTCAAATTCGTCCATGAACATCGATTTAGTGCACTTCCAATGTTTAATTTCATCTTTTGTTCAACAATTTCAAATTCAGTTTAAGCAATTTCAAACAATTGGTACACGTTTTCGTCCCAGAGTATTCGATTTCGTCTTGTCCAGGCCAAACCAAATTTGTCTAATTGAATTACATAAAACAAAATCGATCACCGAATGCTGCCATTCTGCAACAGCTTAGACGAATTTGATCTTAAATGACGAATTTTCTGGGCCCTGTGACTAAAGAGGGTGACCAAACTTTGAAATGGAATGGTAAATGACTAAATTGGTTTTGTTAAAAGCATGTGAATTAATTTCTCAGACGAAATTGAATGTTAGAGTTGGTGAATTTGAATGAAAACTGTTTTGAAATAGGCAGGAAAACCTATATTTAAAAGTGCAATATGAAAAATAGATGGTATTAAAGTATCACTGACTTGCTTAACTTGCTTTCAGTTGAAATAAGTTTTAGGTGATATCAGGAGGCTATTTTTGGATCCTTCATGTTTGTGAGTTTTCACAAATCCGATAAGTATTTCAAACACGTTTTGAAATAATGGAATTTCTTACTCCCTTCGCTGCAACGATTGACGTTTGCATTCATAGGCTTGCGAGGTCAGTCAATTCGTACGTCAATTTTATTCCATTCTATTTGTGTATCCTGTGATCCCGCTATAGTGATTGTACATATATGCTCTTCCCTTTTCTGTGTGGGTTTAGATATTGTGTTGAATGTGTTACGGTTGATCGGTATAAAGCAAATTATTCGCATCTGAACTTGGGGAAAAAGGTAAACTGTTTTCTTCGGCATGAAACTTTTGACTTAAAAAAAACACCCAAATCTAATTTAGACACTAACTTTTGAAATGCATGTCTACTAAACGAAAGTCTGAGTTAACATAGATCTCTCGAATTTTTTTTTTTGTGCTGAGAAATTTGTGTTGCCCGCTAAAGCCCCTGTCACACAGTGCTGTTCTGGCATCCCAATGGTGTCATGACCACAGAAATTGGCAAAACTGGACAAAGACTTGACGGCAACTGCTCTTAACGGGAGCTCGTGTTGGGGACTTGTGGGGGACAGCATAGGTTATGATAGACACTGGAAGGTCCTGAAAGAACGGCGAAGTGCCCCGACTGTCTTGAGCATGTTCAAAACAAACGGGAGACTCTCCCGTCCTATTCACAATGGGGTGAGGATGCTGCAAGGTCAAGCATGGACTTAACTCAAACAGCCTGGACGTGGGGCCGATGGGGCCGGGACGTGGGGCCAAAGGCAGTCGGGAGCATCGTGAGAACTGCATGCACGGGGCTGCATCGGGACTGTCTTTCACTCACGAGTGTCCTACGCTATGCCGTGTTTACACAGTGCCTACCCAGACCTTTGCCCATAGCTAGCGTGGGATAAGCACGTGATAGACTTGACGCCAATGGCTTGGACAGGACGAGGATTGGGTAGGGACTGGAGTGAGAGCCACATTTGTCTTGAATAGAACTACCTGAGAACGGCCTGGACTGGACAGGACAAGGACGGGGCACACACGGATTATGGTCCGAGATCCAAGGCTGGAGCCATATTTTTAATTTCCTAGTCCTAGCCACGTTTCAATATATTTGTTGGGTCGTGACCATCGTATCACGCACGGGGCTAGAGAACGGCACTGTGTGATCGTTTTCTCTCGATTCGCATCGCAAAGTGAAAGGCATTTGTTTTGCTGGCATGCAAACTTTTCCTCGGATCAGCTGATTTCCTCTTTTTTCACTTCACACTTATAACGTTGAAAAATAAAAAAAATATTCAGATCCTCTGCTGAAGTCACTCACTTCTGCAAACCCTGCCCCCCCCCCCAACTTTTTTAGCTGGTACCTTTCTAAATTTCTCCAAAACCCAGCATAGCAAAATACCACAATGGGATTTTCTGCGGACTTCACACAATTGGGTCTGCAGGCCTTACATTAAAGATGATACCCCGTGCTCTTCAAAGAACAATTTCATGGCTAGCTAGATTGAAAATGGCGGGAACTTGAATATGACGCGAGTAAAAGGCATCGTTTGAGTCACCTCTTTTCGTGGCTTGTTGGAGTGTACACCCTGCGTATATACATGGAAGCTAATCGAACGCACCCAGTCCAGTTTTGTGATGTACAGCAAAATCCCTCGCTCCACCCCCTTTTTCTGTCTACACCCCGCCCCTCCCCATTTATCAATTGCAAATTTTGAATGTACGCATTCTTTTATCCTCATAGAAACTTTGATCCTCGTTTTTATTCATTCTCTCCCATAGACACGTATAGCAAGATATATGGTCCAGTGCTTTTATTGTGCTACAAATTCTTGCATGCATTTTTATTAGCATTTTTATTAGCATTACATTATTAGTTGTCTAGTGGAATATGGAATAATGTAGTGCGTCTGTGTCCCACATACCACAAGGCCGAAGGCCGAGTGGTATGTGGGACGCAAGACGCACTACATTTTCCGTGTTCCACGAGCGCAAGTGGGATAACAAATTTATTTCAAGCAACCTTGACGCAAATTGAAGATTGAACACTCACGCTCAAACCTTCCTTTTAGCGGTTTTCGTATCACACATGCGTGCAGCAGGAATAGCACCCGCATCTTGGAAAAGTGCAATATGCGGAGTGCGGTATGGACCATGCTACATGGGATAATGTACATGTAGCACGGCTTGTTGCCATGGATTGACCAATCAGCATCGAGGATTCAAGTTTGCTTGAAGATAAATGTACATGCTGTACCAATGTTAAAAAGTATACAATGAATTCATTTTTTGTCCACTGTCCCATGTGAAAAACTGAAAAACTTTAATAAGCAATGATATTCTGTCTAACGAACTATGGGACGCAGACCCAATACATTCATTTTACTCATTGAATGAAGAATATTATGGAACCCCGCAAGCATGCATTGTAAACCAGTAGTTAGAGTGTTGTGTGTCATGTATGTAATTAAAATTAGTGCAAGGTTATAATATATAACAATACCTGAAATGCAATTGACAGATGTATTATTCTTTCTGATGATCACAGTAAATTATGTAGCAGTAGTAGATTTGTATGCAAGCTGCATGAATACTGAACTAATGAGAGTGAATAATGACTCTATACTAAACCTTCCTGCATGTTTAAACTGTAAAGACAACCCCCCCCCCCAAAAAAAAAAACAATTTTGTTTTATTTTAATCATGTCTTCACACTTACCCAAGCTGGTTGGGGGGAGGGGAATCAGAAATGTCAGGTTCTGGGCAGAGGTCGAATTGAGGTTTTGTGGGTATTAAGAAAGAGAATAAAAAATTATGGCTGTTTAAACTTTGCATTTATCGACATGTCAAGAAAGTATGATACTGAGAAAAAGCCCTGTAAATGTTCAAGTTTTGCATTCATGAAAATGAAAGATGCCAATTGTCTTTCGTTAAATAACACTTTTATTCCACTTTTTTTATACTCTGTCTTCAAAACATGTTTAGTAGACTATATCAAAGATTAAAAATATCAATAAATCTGAAAATCAAAGGAAAAAAATGGGTGAGTGGTGGTGGACTTTTGGTGATGCCATAGTCAGTCACATAATCAGTTGCCTTGTTAGTGATTGATTTGTTGGAATATTATCCCTGCCCTGTACATGTAACACATCTCTCTTCCCCCCCCCCTCCCCCCTCCCCACCAATCCTGCATTAACCCTTACCAGTGTTCCTCTCACATGGAGAAGCCAGGAAGACGAAATTTGTCGGGAAATTTCCCACTGGCGTTATCTGCCATTTGTTAGCGAGTGCATGCAGTAGGCATTATAGTGGGCTCACTTGAGAAGATATCCGTTGGTTTCGGGCACAACTGCATGGAATCATAATAACAGTAATAATAATAATGCCATGCTTATTGTAGCGCTGTATGCCAAAGTCTCAAATACTTGACAGTTATTACCCCTGTTCATCATGCCATGAGACTGTTATCGTGCAGCAGCTTCAGATCAGCGCACTCTGGTCTCCACCAGCACAGGTACCCGCTTATACTCCTGCATGGAGAGAGGCGATTGTAGTAAAGTGTCTTGCCCAAGAACACAAACACCGTGTTCCAGGGTTTGAACACGCGCACATGTACCATCGCACATTGGTTTAAAACTGCGACCATTGGATCACGGCACATCGCAAATACATTCCGTACATTTCTACTCTACATTTTGCATGTTTCAAATCTTCAAAATCTAAGCTCTTGATGTTTTTTTTTTTATCTTAAGGTGGGTATGAAGCACTCGGCCTCGCTGACGGACATCATCGTAGACACCCACCGGCGTAAGCACCTGGCCTACTTGATGGCCGAGCAAGGGGCCATCGTCAATCCGGAAAATACCGGCAACCTACCAAAACAGGTGTGTTCCAATCCATTCAAATGTATCAATTGTCCATACATTTTATTATCTTCAGCGGTTGAGATGTCTCTTCCTTTATCAAGATTGTTAAAAACGTTGAGGTAAAATTGGAATTCGACTTGGAAAAATGTAAATTTTGACTTGGCAAGATGTAAATTTGACCAGTTCTCAAAGCAACGAGTATCACATGATGTTCTTTAAAAATTTGGTTGATATTCAACAGTTACCTAATTACTCTCCATCTCATTTTCAGCACATACACAAACGCCAGCTACACAGGAAAAAGTCGTTTATGGGAAGCCTTTTTGGTAAGTGTTGAAGAGTTTTTCGCAGGAGCGTTTGTTGTGTATACTTTGATTGTGTCCGTCTCAAGGCAAGCACAAGTCCCGTCACAAGTAAGCGGGAGAGAACAGCGCCTTTGTCACAGTTCACATGAATAGTGTGTTACTTGTGATGGAGTTGTGATTGACTTGTGATGGACTTGTGATGGAGTTGTGATGGACTTGTGATGGACTTGTGATGGAGTTGTGATGGAGTTGTGATGTAGTTGTGATTGACTTGTGATTGAATTGTGATGGACTTGTGATGGACTTGTGATGGACTTGTGATGGACTTGTGATTGACTTGTGATGGACTTGCGATGGACTTATGAAGGACTTGTGATTGACTCATGATTACCTTGTGATGGACTTGTGACTGACTTGTGATGGACTTGTGACTTGTGATTAAATTGTGATTGAGTTGTTATCAATTTTCCCTGTCCGTCTTCTCTTCTTCCTCCAGGCTTGAATGAGAGCGAGGACCTTAAAGCCAAGAACATCCGGCAGACGGAGTTGGTCTCAGACCTGCGCGAATCCATCCTCCAGATTGGCAGACACTTCCAGTCAATCGATCCAAAAAATGCCAAAATTGTGAGTAGTGTTTCCCTTGTGCCGCCTCTCTGGAACTCCCTGCCCAAATTTTTTTCCACTTCTTCTTATAACCTTTCAAAATTCAAACAAATTGTGAACGGATATCTTCTGTAAGTATTACTTACTTCATTTTTTTTCTGCTCTGTGTATTTGTATCCAACACCTTAAGTGGCTTTTGGCCTTGTACTCTGGTAAATACCTGTTGAAAAAAAAAAAATACCCACGTTTAATTCTTACATCCTCCATCCTATCCAAGGGTACTGCCTTGACCTCTGATGTCTGTCATCTCCCAGCAAAACCTAGGCCTGGTAGCAAATTAACCAGTTCGCGCCGGAGGCCGTGTATACACGCAAACGTTTTTACGGTATTCGGAACGAATGACAGATAAACAGGCAGGGAGCAAGGCCGTAAATATCTGTCTGTGACCCGCTTGTGGCGAGCGAGGCCGGAAATACGAGCGTGCTGCCCGAGGGTGATGGCTTCAACCCGCCTGGTGTGAGGTCGAGTGAAAAGTCATCCCGCGTCTCGTTCCGTTCTTGTCAAAATAGTCCCGGTGTGAACTGGTTAATGTTTAGAGACTTGACTTCTGAAGGAGTGGTGAGAAATAGTTTGTCCTGCAGGGAACCAGACCAAAAAGGCTGCTCTTCCAAGTCTAGATGCCTGTTTTGAGGCAATGTATTTTGTGTTATTGGCAATCCCTGGTACCAGACTACTACTTTGAAGGAATGATGTGAAATAGTTTTCCCTTCAGGAAACCAGACCAACATGGCCGCTCTACCAAGTCTAGATGCCTGTTTTGATGCAATGCATTTTGTGTTATTGGCAGTCCCGGGTACCAGACTACTCCTTTGAAGGAATGATGTGAAATAGTTTTCCCTTCAGGAAACCAGACCAACATGGCCGCTCTACCAAGTCTAGATGCCTGTTTTGATGCAATGTATTTTGTGTTATTGGCAGTCCCGGGTACCAGACTACTCCTTTGAAGGAATGATGTGAAATATTTTTCCCTTTAGGGAACTAGACAAAAATGGCCGCTCTATCAAGTCCAGATGCCTGTTTTGATGCAATGTATTTTGTGTTATTGGCAGTCCCTAGTACCAGACTACTCCTTTGAAGGAATGATGTGAAATAGATTTCCCTTCAGGAAACCAGACCAAAATGGCCGCTCTGTCGAGTCTAGATGCCTGTTTTGATGTAATGTGCTTGTGTTATTTGACAGTCCCTGGTACCAGACTACTCGTTGGAGAGCCATCAGAAGGACCACGAGCAGTTTGTGGACGTGACCAGGAACAGGAGACGGAGGGCCAAGGCCTTGCTGGACTTTGAGAGGCACGACGACGACGAGCTAGGCTTCCGCAAGAATGACATCATCACGGTGAGTCTCGAGAGAGCAGTAGACAACTTCCTTCAAGGACTTTTGTTCAGGAGATCCAGAACCATAGTTTAATCAAAAAATTGGGGGGGGGGGGGCAATAAGAGATGGGACAACCAAGATTTGCCATTAAAGGGGCCTACTGACTGGATGACTGACCGTTGCAAGTTGGACAATTGAGGTGGGGTTTGGGACTTTGCCCTTATTTGACACAGGGAGTGCTCTTCGTTCCTCACTTTTTTTTCCTTTCTGTTTATATTTCATAAAACCCTTGAGAAAAGGTGATGAGAAAAGTAAAGTATCCAATGAAACGTGGTTGTTTTCATCAAATAACATCGAAAATTTTCAATTTTTTAGTATAATTGCTTTTTGGGGGGAAGGCCTGTTGGCCCTGCTGGATCTTTCTGCTGTGTTTTATTTCTAATGTATCTTAACTGACCTAACTAAAACAAATTGGTGTAGCTTCAGCCTTGATACTTGAATAATGTCATTATTCAAAATCCAAAATTCTTCAGGTAAAGACGCAACTGCAAACACAGTGCGAACATTTTTCTATCCAACTGAATTTCCGTGACTCATTCAGTATTCATGCAGCTTTGAGACTTGGAATGTCTTATTGTCATCTTAAAAAATACCTGAATACTCAAAAATCATCTCGTGGTATGACTTGTTGCACAGATAATATCTCAGAAGGATGAACACTGCTGGGTTGGTGAACTGAATGGCCTCAGAGGTAAGAATATTGTCTTTTAATTCAGAAATAGTCATCATTTCCCTTCTCTACTCTCTCATGGTTCTTGTTGTTTTTGAAGCTAAAATGTCAAATTCTAGTTAAGTAATTGCTTTCATGTTTTTGCCAAGGACAACAAAAATCAAATCGCTATTTTGAAATTTTTTAAAAAGCATATCAAAATTCCTACCTTTTTTTTACCAGGTTGGTTTCCTGCCAAGTTTGTAGAGCTTCTGGATGAGCGGAGCAAACAGTACACAAGCGCCGGCGACGACTCGGTCACAGAGACCATCACGGACCTTGTCAGGGGAACGTAAGTCTTTTACTAGGAGGACCAGGGTCATCACTTTCTTAGGGCCAAGTTGCAACGTGGAGGCGTGTCTTAAAGTTATAAAGGATCATATGCATTTATCCCAAAAGTAACCTCCCGAGTTTTCATCAAAAGTTTATTAGATTAAAGATCGTAGTGGTACTAAACACCCAAGGAAATTATTCCATTGGGCTTGCTGTCATTTAGAAGAACTCAAGAAACGCAGGTGATTTCCAACGATCAGTCAATTGACTTACTTTTGGAAATGAAGAAAATTACTTAAGAAATTGTGTTGCGTGATCAACATTTTTTACTGTTTTCATGAAAAGTGTAATATCCACTGAGCTGAAACATCTACAAGGTTTTGAACATTCTCCTTTGGATTTTGAGTGAGTGGTCGTTCCCTTTTCTCTTCTATATCAGCATATGCCTGTCACTAGTACGATTGTACTTCACGTTTTGATATCGGATGTTTGTTTTTATTCAGGCTATGTCCGACGCTGAAGTGTCTGTTTGAGCATGGCTTGAAGCAGCCCTCGGTACTCGGGGGACCCTGCCATCCATGGCTCTTCATTGAAGAGGTTTGTCAATATCGATGCCAAAGTTGATGCACCTTCTTTATTTTCACTCAGTGGTGAATTTGTATTAAATGTATTAGTGAGGCCAGTTAATAGAACACGCTGATATGAAGCAAAGCAAATTGTTGAAATTTTAGTAATTGTAGTTTTACTTTGAAACATTACCCCCCCCCCCCCCCGACAAACTTGCGTTGTTTTCAAAGTTGTACAGTTGTAGGTAGTACACATATCCCCTCCTTTTTTTTTCCACAACCCACCAGGCAAGTTGCAAAGAAGTCGAGAAGGATTTTGAATCGGTCTACTCCCGCCTGGTCCTGTGCAAGACCTATCGCCTGGACGAGGACGGCAAGGTGCTGACCCCCGAGGAGCTGCTGTACAGATCGGTCCAGTCGGTCAATCTGACCCACGACTCGGCCCACGCTCAGATGGACGTCAAGCTACGCTCGCTCATCTGCCAGGGGCTCAAGTGAGTGTAACTGTGTCCAAAGCTCTAGTTAACAGCTAGTGGCAAGGTCTTCTGCCCAGTACAACTATGTGAGAACATGCTAGCAGTAGATGTAGACGTAGCTCTGGAAGCCCATTTTGGACAGGGCCTTTGATGGGTAGTTTGGTCATGCTATCACTTGGTAGAGAGTGCCCTCTGTTGATCTGATTTACAAGTCAACAGGCTAAACATAGAGACATCTATGCCAGGATTGACCTATCACCGTTCACAAGCATTATCCAATCTTTAACAACTCGACCGATGAGTTTACACGGGTAAATTGGAATCATTGATAAATCTTAGTGATGGAATTAAAGGTACATTAGATCATTTGCAGCTATCCAAAAAGGAACTGACCAAATTATTGTTCAAAAGCTTACTTGCTTTAAAGATGGGGATGGCAATATAAAGCTCCCTGCAAATTTATTATCTCTAGCATGCTGTCATTTTGAAGAAAACAATAAAAGAAGGCCATATCCAAAGATGCGTCAAGTGACGCATTTTTGGAAATTTCTGTTAGTGGCTGATATGTAATTTGGTGAATCCGTGAATGGTTGCACACAAACGTTGACACGACACACACGCGCGCGATTGATATTATTCGTTGGTTCAGTGCGTGCATAGATGCTGTTCTTGGGCACATGAGTCGCTTACTTGTAAATTGAAATCGAGATCCTAGAATATTGTTTTCCTGGAATATACAGCAGTCACAGAGGTAAAAGCTCATCAGGTTAGTTGTAATTGCACCCATGCTCCAAAGGAAACAAAATGCGAATGACAAATGATCTACCCTACGGTTAAGTTATACGAGGATATTGCTAACCAGATTTGGTGTTACCCAGTGCCTTTTGATTAAAGTATTTTTTTCTGGAGAGTCAGCTTTGATTCTTGTTTTTCTTTATGCCTGTACATAAACACTTCAGGCCAAAAAAAAAAATAGTCGGTCTCTAGTCAGACCGAAGTTCCGGAATTGATGCGGCGACGCATTTTTTTTTTTTTTTTTGGTGGTGTTTTTTTTTTTTTTTTGGTGGGTACTATTTTGCTTTTTTGTGACCTCATTATACATTGGTGTCCTCCATAATTTGCCCTTGGTGCACTTTATCATTTGCCTTGGTGCACTTTATCATTTGCCTTGGTGCAATTTCCCCATTCCTTGGTGCTCCTTGGTACAAAAATTTGAGGAGGCGCGGCAATAGAGTTCGCTGTTGTAGCTTCTGTGTTAATTTGAAGAAAAAAAACAAGTTTGACGCGCATGATTAAAATCGACGTGTGCGCTGACCAGAGACCAAGTATTTTTGGGGGGCCTAACTCTCATTTCGTCATTTTATTTATTTATTTATTTTTGCAGCGAGCAAGTCCTACACCTGTGGCTGGAGTGTCTGTGCTCGTGCGAGAAGATCATAGAGAAGTGGTACTACCCCTGGTCCTTCCTGCGCAGTCCTGGCTGGGTCCAGATCAAGTGCGAGTTGCGCATCCTGTCGCGATTCGCGTTCAACCTCTCCCAGGACTGGGAGATCCCGCTCAAGAAGGGTGTCCAAAAAATCGGGGTAAGATAAGATGCTTTCTGATCATCTAGTTTGTAAAGCGATCAAAACTTTTTTATATTTTTTATCTGTTATACTAACCCCTCAACTACTTCATTTCTGAAAATTACAGCAAAAGCCAATGATGTACATTCCCTTTAAACAGAATCCTATTTTGACATTGAACATGTACATACAAAGTTTCATTAAATGTTTACCGCACTTGCAAAATGTGTCTTTTACTGCAAATAAAGGTATTTCACGGTTTAATTTTCTTCCAAGTGTTTTCCACACATGCAGGGAAATTAGTAGTCTGAGTATCATCCGTTATCCACGGAGCCATCTCCTGTCTAACGTCTGATATGTCAAAGCATGCAGATTTATGCAAGCTGCGCCAGCCAATCGGAGTCGACTTACTAAATCGTGACGTCATTTCATCCCAAAATCAGGACTAACGCTGTGATTGGTCAATTTGAATGCAGCGTTTTGTAATACAACAACAGCCGGGAGCACATTCGCGTAACATGATACCAAGCGCCGCGCGCCGTGACATTTTTTTTTAAATCCATGTCTATGACGCGCAACAGGTGAATGACCGAAGACCCGATAGACCTATAGAAAGCGCCTGCTGATTGGTCAAGAGGTGGGGTCTTGCCTAAGTAATCAGCAAATCTGTTCGCGCACAATAGACCACGGCTACATAGACTAGGAAATTAGAATATGACCTGGAGAATTGTCTTAAAAAAATTGGGTTTTTTTTTTTTTTTGCTTTTTCACAGAGACCAGCAACCTTAAAAGACAGCGTCCAAGACATGTTGATTAAGCACCACCTCTTCAGCTGGGACCTTTGACCTGTACGACCCACAACCTTTGACCTCTTCACCTCTGCCATTCCATGCAGTACTGTGTAGCATGTTGATAGCAAGTCACACAGACTCTTTTTGTCTATTCATATTTTGAAATCCTAATGAATATTGAAATCCTTATGAATATTGAAATCCTAATGAATATTGAAATCCTAATGAATATTGAAATCCTTATGAATATTGATATCCTTAGGAATACTGATAAAGCTTTGGCCTTTGACCCGGCCCCCTGCAATGCCACACAGTACTGTGGTCAGTGTCACTCAGTTCATGATGGGGAATCCTCATGCATATTCATTAACTTTGGAATGTTGTGGATTTTTTTTAGTTGTTCCAAAGAAGAGTTGTTGAAGTCACCTTTATTTTGTACCTATTTAAACAGATAAAACTAGAGAAGTTACAAGAAAGATATCAGAGAAAGAAAAAGGCTGCTTTTTTTGCAACGTTTGTCTTCGCTTATTGTATATAACTGTATATTAAATAGGACTACATGGTATTGAATTCACGGGGGATTAAAAATTCAGTATTCTTGCACTTGCATTTCCTTTTTAAAGTGAATTCACATTTCCAAAACAAATTCCACCAGAATATGTATATTCTTTTTCGACATAAGCTGAACCTTGACAAAAATGAAATATTTATTTGAAGTTAATGCAAGGTTGGAGAATATGTGTGAATTTAGTCGCTCTAGACTAGTGAAAAGAAAATAACTCTTCTGAGAAATATTGCAATATGTATTCCTTAATAAAGCGGAACAGTTCCTTCCATTGTAAATATTGTAAAAAAATAAATAGTAGATATTTAATATGGCTTGCTATGTATGTGTGCAAATAGCACACGTGTGTACGATTGTGTCCATATAGAAGGGTGTTAATGCTGATTGGCTGCTAATCTATGAAAATTCATTTGTGTGAATACTAGAGGGGGCGGTCCATTGCATGTAAATGTATAATATTTGCATGCAATGGACCGCCCACTTTAAGGCATCGAAGTACATGTAGGAGCTTTAAATTTAAATATTGAGCATGACTATGAAAAAAATACGGGGCTTTTGACTTGACATGCTGGTGTGACCTGTAGTTTGACCTCTTGTTGCTAAGGAAGGTGATGCTTCCAGGTCAGGTCAGGTCAGGTCATCTTCCATTTGCAGTTTATGTATACATGTATTCATGAAGATGATAAATAACATCACCTTGCTTAATACAATTTATAAAATTGAAGAATAAAGTCAGTATAAATGTAACTACATGTATTCCAAAAAAAAAATTTAATAGCTACAAAGATGGAAAAACAGTATGCTTATGAAATAAGTGGACACGAAAGAGTTCATATAGACAGGTAGAACATTACTTTTGGTTTTAAAGGCGTACATGCATGTGTGAAGGCTATTTGATCTTGGATAGTGATCTTTATAAAGACAGTTTTGTTGACATGGACTTGTCTATTTGTTTTTTTTTTTAGATATGACCTTTGTTTCTTGTTTTATGGCAGGTCAGTTGTAAGAATGACCCCAAACCTATGTTAACTATGGCTTTATCTAGGAAAAAAACAAGGAATTTCAGTTAAAAGACCAGCATAAACAGCTTGGTAAATCGAGTTAACACTTCATAAGTAGCGTCGGACTTGAGCTCAAGTTAAATTGTGGACCATGAATGACAACTTCAAAAGGAACTTTTTGTTGTCTAAAATTGCAAAGTTACTTTGCTAAATGTTTTTGCTTTGCATTTTTTTTTTTTTTTTTTTACAAATTAGCGTTTCAAGAATTGTTTTTCTTCGTAGATGTGATCAGCTGCGCTCTTTGAGGTTCTTCAAGTATGATGGCTTTGTATTCCGTGTTCCTCATTTGGTTTGTGTTTACTGGTTTCAGGGAAAAACCTTTCGGTAATATCAGTAAATTCACACAAAAATGTGTATTCACTTTATAATAATTTGATAATGAAGTGCAGTATAATTTGATGCTTATGGTGGCTGCAATTTAACTAAAATATATTGTCAAGTACGTATTGTTGATTGTACTTAATGATTTTAGAGTGTTTAATTCATGTTGTGATGTGCAATGATAAATAATGATTTTGGTCCGTAGAAAATTTACATGGATGATTTATGTAACTACTGCCAAGCTGTGTATACATGTAATTTGATGAGTGATGTTATTCTTTAAGATTATTTGCTTATGATGTTTTGAATGGTACACAAATGCATATATGCATAGCTGTAGAAAGAGTCATCAGATTGGTTGATGCTGGTCACGTGATCAGGCTGCCGAGATAAGTCCTCCATGCTGATTGGTTGACTGTTGTGATGCAAAGCCACTCTGCCACGCCCACTATGTGTAGTAGTATTTTTCAATGACTTCAAATGGTGGTATTGGATGCTTCATAATTTCTCTTTCACTGCTTAGGCTTTCCTTCAAAGAGAAAACCACTAGGTTTTGGCCTAATTTTCTGTACATGTGTTTTGTTTGTTCCATACCACTGAGGTTTTCAGCTATTCCAGTAGGCCTACGTTTTTCATTTGGGGCGTCTTCTCAAAATCTTGTGTTCAGATAAAAGAATTGCATCTAAATCTTGAGATTCAGAGGAATGTATTCAAAATTTTACATCAGTAATTTTGAAAATGTGCCAATTTTCAGAACAAAATGCATTAAATACACTGGACGTAATTTTAAGTAAATCCGTCTCGCTGCTAAAAAAAAAAATTGTACATTCTGAACTATTGTCGACATTGTACAGACGTTGTACATACGTATAAGAACTCTTCAGTTTTATTTTGTATTTTAAAAATAACCTTTAGAGCGTGTACACATCTCTTTTGTTTTGTCATGTATTTGAACACATTTCTGACTTGTTTTTTTTATGGTAGGTGTTTGTGGACATGAAACCTGACTTTGTTCAGATGAAAGCCTTAATTTCCACCTCAAATTCTCACTCAAGCAGAAATGCCGACGGACTAAAAGGTCCATGTAAAGTAAAGTCTGTCCCGAGCCAACGTGGCTCATCCGGCCGGCGTTTATCTCCGGTTTCAGTAGCATGAAACGACTAAGAATATTTCTACTCCCCCTGGATGGGATGCTAGTCCATGGCAGGTTACTCCCCAGCTAATGCCGGTACCCATTTATACTCCTGGGTGGAGAAGGGCAAGTGAGGGTGAAGTGCCTTGCCCAAGGACACAAAAGGTCCATGTAAAGTGAAGAATTTTGCCATTTTTTTTTAAAGAGAGGGAGTCTTTTTCAAAAGACAATTTGACATTGACCAAATTTTAGAATTCATTACCCTAGCCAGTAGCAACCCTCTCTCTGAATTTTTTAGTTTCTGAGCTTGCTTTTAGCTAGATCTACAGTTTGTGTACATGCTGCCTGAAAAAATACAATGAAATAGGAGCTTGAGAAAAGAAATGCATCCCCTTCATTGCATGTGCACATTGCATGTATTCATTGTTTTATTGAGCACTTAGTGCGCATTGAATGAACAGTAGTGAAAACATACATCAATTAGATACATGCAAAGTGTAAGGAGTAAGAAGATGAAAAATTGAATACAAGTATGGCATGCATGTGCTGCACAATAAAAGAAGAAAACTTGAATAAATGCAACCGTGTTGTGTTCGGGTTTTATTGCTGGGCCCAGAGGGCCAGGCTATAGTGTTCTCTTTGTTCCTTCTGACTTGCGAGCCGGGCAGTGCTATTGTATCGGATTGCCCCGCAACACCAATGAAATCTGGCTTATCATTAGTTCAGAAACTTCAAGAGAATAGCCATTCTATATCTATTGAATTTTGTCCCAGTTGAATTTAATTGTGGTTTGGCTGTACCTTCCACAATCCTCCAAAATCATTCCAAAGCCACTTGGATTTTGAAAGATCTTCCAAGGGTCAAGTTAATGAGTTGTCCTAACACTGCCCACTATCTACTGGGTAGTATAACAGCAGTTTTTCTAATAAATGTCATCATACAACTAAAATTACCTGCATTCTTGCATAATTACAGACAAATACTGGCCAAAAAGCCATTAAAAACATGCAAATATTTCAAATGTTGATCTTCATATGTCCTTTGACAAGAGTTTTTTTAAAGTTGATGAAAACCTTTTAATTCATGGGTAGCGCAAGAGCGAAGAATGTTATTTCCCATACTCCATAGAGAGCTTGGCTGCCAACAGTGAGGGCGCCCTGTGCAAACTCTCTATTTTGCCTCGGATGTTTAATAGCTCAACTTTAGCTGCACTTTCCATAAAATAAAATTATTTGATCATTTCAAGAATCTCCTGGTCCATGTGTTCTAAATGGCTGTCAATAATAATTCTCTAATCTTGGAAGAGAACATTTTGGTCTAGCTTATGTCTAGGTCACTTTCTCGACCCTTTCTTGGCCTTGGGCGTCTTCTTGGGCGTCTTCTTTTTCTCCACTTTCTTCTTGTGCGTCTTTCCCTTTTTCCCGGCCTTTGGCTTGGCTTTCACAATCTTCCTCTGGCTTTCCAGTCGCTTGGCCTGCCGTTCCTTCGTGGCCTTCTTGGCGTTCCTGGCGATCCGCTGCGCCTCCCGGACCGACTTGGCGTCTTTCTCCTGCCGCACTTTGTCTGAGTCCTTCTGCCGTACGGTCTGGGCGGTTGGCTTGGGCGCACTGGCCGAGTTCAGCTTGAACGAGCCGCTGGCCCCGGACCCTTTCACCTGGATCAGATCCCCGCGTGTCACACCCTTCTTGATAGCATTGCGGATGTAGGTGTTATGGCTGTCCAGTCCGTAGTTGGCGGAGAGATACTTCTTGATCGCCTGCAGGGAGGACCCGCCGCGGTCTTGAGTCAAGCCGATCGCTTCCTCCACCATCTCCTTGAACTTGGGCTTGGCCGTCGAGCTGATCGCCGACGTTTTTCTCTTCCTTTTCTGTTTGGATTTTGCCCCGCCGTCTTCAGCAGTGTGATCAGCAGCAGTCGGATTGTCATCGTCCGCCATTTTTATTCACTGAAGCCTGCGTTTTATGTGTAAATTGCCCCAGGTTTTGGAATTAGAAATGACAATAAAAGAGTGACCGCAATATTATCATGCACAACATGTACACGATATTTTGACACGAACTACACGCTATAATGTTTGTATGGTCTGTGCGTACGTAGGAGAAATCACCCAATTATGTGTGTACGTGACAGGTGCTTTACAACCCTACGTGCGGCGGCGACGAAGTTTCTGTGTTTTGCTCTCGAAAGATCTGGTCATAAACAGCCTTAAAAACTGGATTTCCGTGACGATTTTGGTTTAAGGCTCACCTACGATTAATGTTCTTCCACACAGTATCGATGGAATCATCTTCCCTTTGAGTTTAGGGGTAGAATTCGGGCGATCAGTAAAACAAAATTTTGAAATCATGGCCTGACCTTTATTTCGCATACGCGAAATCTCCGTTAATTCGGACAGAGAGCGGGCGAGAAATGCACGTCAGGTAAATTCAACATCTGGGCAATTTTTCGGAAGTTAAGCAAGGGCCTCCCGCAGCGAGGAAAAGTGACGAATATGCTGCTTTAAAAAATAAATGAATAACACTTCAAGTTCGTTTTCGCGCCGCACCAGAACGCGCATTTCCATAGAGGGCGCTACATGCCGTCTTTTAATATAAAGCACATGTACAATTCTGTACATGATGTACATGTACAATGTACATGTATGCACGTGTACTTCAGTTCACGTGTTTTGCCACAGATCCTGGACGACTTTGGGGCGTGCCCATTCCTACCATACCCTCCCCTTTCATGTGTAGGGTTTTTTTTCCAGTAATTCTCCTAAAAAGAAGGGTGAGGGACGACTTGTTTTTCAATCGATGCTACTGTACTCGTCTCTTTTTCTCTACAAATTTGTGAAGCAGTAAGAGCGAGAAGAACAAAAGGGGAATGAGTGATGAGCGCCCTCACAGGCCTCCCCCAGCAATTCAAGTCACTTATAAATGAACAAACATAAAGCACTCTTGTGGAGACGATAACTCAATTACAACACATAGCACTGAATTGAAATTGCGTCCAATAATAGGTCAAGATATGAGACACAAATGGTTTGAAAATCAATGGGAACCGGTGAAGAATAGAGTATTAATCGAAATTCAATCCAAATTCAAGTCACTTATCAATGAACAAACATAAAGCACTCTTGTGGAGACGATAACTCAATAACATCACATAGCACTGAATTGAAATTGCGTCCAATAATAGGTCAAGATATGGGACACAAATGGTTTGAAAATCGACAGGAACCTTTGAAGAATAAATTTAATATGATTTAAAGAAATACAGTGTACTAATCGCGAAAAAAATCAATCCAAATTCAAGTCACTTTTAATTGAACATAAATAAAGCACTCTTTGTGGAGACGATAACTCAAGAAAAACACATAGCACTGAATTGAAATTGCGTCCAATAATAGGTCAAGATATGGGACACAAATGGTTTGAAAATCAATGGGAACCGTTGAAGAATAAATTTAGTATGATTTAAAGAAATACAGAGTACTAATCAAGAAAAATTCAATCCAAATTCAAGTCACTTATCAATGAACAAACATAAAGCACTCTTGTGGAGACGATAAACTCAATAACAACACATAGCACTGAATTGAAATTGCGTCCAATAATTGGTCAAGATATGAGACACAAATGGTTTGAAAATAGACGGGAACCTTTGAAGAATAAATTTAATATGATTTAAAGAAATACAGTGTACTAATCGCGAAAAAAATCAATTATGTTAAAGAATTTAACATAAATAAAGCACTTTTTGTGGAGATGATAAATCAAGAAAAACACACTATATTGAATTGAAATTGCATCCAACAATTGGTCGTCATATATGACACAATTGTTTTGAAAATCAACACTGCGCTTAAGTACCCTACATTGTTTTGGTTATATTATTTTTATTGTCTGACGATTTCTCTCGATATTCAACAGATTTGTGTAATATATAACGAACCGTTTTTATACAAGATTTCAATTTAATGCCGAATGTTGTTTTTGAGTTATCGTCCGGCAAACGAATGTGTTGTTTTTGTTCCATGAAAGTTGACTTTCGTTCGGATTGTATTTTTCGCACTTGTCCCGAGATTCATAAAAATTACCATACCAAAAAATACGAGATAAAAGTAAAGAGTCACTTTTTCTGTTTTGACTAGTCGCCTGACTTCTTGACAACCATGTCATGCCAATGACATGGTTGGAAAATAAAAAGGCAAGAGTGTATTCTTCACTTTCTTGGTATAAATATCGCAAGAACAATTTTATCATAATTAATCCCCCCCCCCCTCTCTCTCTAGCGCCCCGCCTCCCAAAAAAGAGGTCCCCTGCTGGTCAAAAGGTGGCGCTCTTCATTGTTACTGCAAGTGTTGCAAATTTGACAGCCGCCAATTTTGACAAAATGTCATGTTTATCTAGGCCCTATCTACCGTTTTCTTGGTGTCCACGTAACCAGGTGTGGCTTTGGGAGGCATTTTTTGAGGTACATTTTCCCTTATCGTTTTTATGTTACCCAAGACAATGGTATAATGTTTATAACTCTTGTTAGAAAAATATACAGGCTGTGTGTTCCTTCCTCCATTCCATGCTCCAGCACAGCAGACGGGGGGGGGGGGGGGGGGGGGGGGGGGGGGGGGGGGGGGGGGGGGGGGGGGGGAACTGGGGGGGGGGGGGGGGGGGGGAACTGGGGGGGGAGGGGGGGGGATGCGTGTCTCCCCCCCCCCCCCCTTGTAGTTGGATACATGTATTGTATGTAGATTCAGCAGTTGATGCATGGGTTTTGTGGATTGTGGTTAGCTTGAGTAACTCTAGCCCCATAAATGTGGCCTATTTACTGGACTGCCTCCGTAAACATAGGCCACACATCCACATGTACAAAAAACGTGTCGACTTTGCCAAATTTTTGATTTTCACATTTAGACTGACTTTGTAGGTTTTTTTTGCTTTAGAAGCATTCTCACCCTCTACATAGGCTAATCAGAAAGTGCTGCCTTTTTCAGATGTCCATTTTTCGTGAAATTTCCAGATACATTTGCACACGTTTGCGTATCAAAATTTCAACATGAAATTTCACACAAATTAGACATCTGAAAAAGGCAGCACTTTCTGATTAGCCTATATAGAGGGTGAGAATGCTTCTAAAACAAAAAAAAACCTACAAAGTAAGCCTAAATGTTAAAATCAAAATTTGGCAAAGTCGACATGTTTTTGTACATGTGGCTGTGTGGCCTATGTTTACGGAGGCAGTCCAGTAAATAGGCCACATTTATGGGGCTAGAGTACCTCCAGCTGACATGCTCCATATTCATTCACATGTAACGCTGGAGGCATAACCTGTTCGTTAGAATGTGGTGTTTTTTTTACGGACAAGCCACCGGAATCGTCAAGATTTTTCACATTTTTTTGTGTGTGGTCTGTTTCAAGTCGATCATTAGGCTTCGTAAATGACTGTTGAATGTATGAGGTATGTAAATGAACTCTGGGGTGGGATATTAGAGGTGAAAATGAACAATTTTTGAGAGGCAAATTTTTTTAGAGTCTCTTGCTACCACATTCTAACGAACAGGTTATGCCTCCAGCATTACATGTGATGGAGCATCAGCTGGAGTTACTCAAGCTAGATTGTGGTGGGGAAGGGAGCGGGGTTGGTGGGGTTAACAACATTTCAACTTGAACTTGGGTGGGGGAACATATGTCATCTAAATTGCAGACTTTTATTCCTTTATTCAGAGAGTGCAAGAACTTTAAATATTTATTAATATTAATAAGAATATTAGTGCAAACAACCAAACTTTGTCACGACTGTAATGTGCCTAGTGCCTACATGTGGTTAACATGGGAAAAAAGTCTTAATGCAATGTCAAGTTATATTATTCAAAAAAAGATCCTTCACAGTTCTCACAGCTTTCGTGGTTCAGTTACTGTCATTTCCTGTGCCATTCATTGAGTGTCCCGAGTTAAAACCAGGGGAAGCGAAGTATCATGCTTTATACACTAGATTAGATCACTTTCCTTCAGCTGTTGATGTTGGCTGATCCTTCTGAATGAAAAGAGTACAGATGAATCTTTCCAATAGTTAATAAAGCAGCCATCTTTTAAAACTAGACTGCAGTACATTAAAAAATGAGTTTCCAAAAAAGGGTATACATATCAATTGAAAAAAGTTCAAACCAGCAGCATTCCCCATGCAGAATGCCTCAATCATGCTGAGTCAGTAGGTTTCTCCCAAACAGTGTCTTGTGTCATCTGTAAGCGTAATTTGTGCCCTGATTGCATAATTTTGCAATTTTCTTAATCAGTTGTATGCCGTTTTAAAATGGTACATTTCAGTGGCTGTGGCTGATCAAATATCAGTTGATCAAGTTGGGAATAAGAGTCCCAGTTCAGAATTTTTGTGTAAATTCACTTAATTGAGGATAAGTTCTGGCTACTCGTAGCCAATGTCACTGTTAACATGTCGGATCTTCATTTCACTTTTAATCAGTTCTGCAGTTATTGGGATGCTCCCCCAGCATTGTGTTGCTTGGCAAGGAGTGTAGGCATTCAGATTAACCTGCTTGGCGCAGCTGACATCATGGTTTTGAAACCACCATCCGCCTCCCATTATGACTGCACATATCCGTTTGGCCCCTTGATCCCTAGTTGTGAATGCCATGCCATCGTGGTTGCCAAGGATGTTAACGCTGAGATTCCCTGAAGAATAAAAGTGACTTATGGAGAGATTGAACTCTGGGCCGGTGACACTAAAACTGGGATATGTGACATATCTGTACTCGAGCTCATCGGTATTTTGGAACCACAGGTCCACGCGCAACTGCCATACAGCGCCATCTGCTGTAACAGTAGCCAAGTTGTCGTTGCCCCACCAAAAATCATCGTCAGTGGGACTGCCAAATCCATTCTTGTAGTCCATAAAATTTGTGTCGAAAACCTGTTCGCTTCCCCAGTCTATACTTATGTACCGGTGACTGCGTCGCTGGAACACAATCCAGCCTCTTCCGTCACTGTCCAGTTCGCAGAGTGCATCGATGCCTGTCGGGATACCAAGGGGGTAGATTGTTGCCGTGGTTTGCCCAGTTCCGTGACTGATATCGTTGTCATACTCTGGACAGTAGCTTCCAAGATTTTGTGTCACCAAGTCGGCATTTCCATTGCTGTTGCTCACCACCGTTATAGATTGTGACAATGTCGGCGTCAGTGGTTCTGTCGACTGTTTGTTGCACCCCAGTGCCGTCAAGATCTCGCTTTTATCATCGGCAGCTACTATTGCGGTCTTGGACCGAGGTGCCTGAACCAACCGTCCCTGTTGCGACTTGGCCACGTTCACGCCACCAGGCAGGATGCGAGTGCATTTGCAGGGCTGGCTGTGCGGGATAACCCACTGGGGATCATCACCATCACTGCCTCCTAACTCCTGCCCAGAGTAGCAGACCTGCTCGGCAGTTGCCAGAGCATTAATTGCTATCAGCAGCACGGCAAATATACCAAAGCTTGCCATTTCTCTGTACCTCAACTCCAACACTTGAAAATACAGTAGAATTCTGCTCAGAAAGTTATGTAGAGCTACTGATGAACAGTCACAAGGGAATTGAGCAAAGTCTGAACAAGAGGAGACTTAAATACAATTTGTAGCCAAAGAAAATTAACGACCAATTAGCCTCAGAAAGTATTGCTTGGCAAAACCAACTGCCATCATCAAGGAGTGCTCGTATATCAGTTGTGGTCTTGATGAGGGTTTCAAGGTAAAAGTCTCAAAGTTGAAGAATATGCTAATCAATAATTGTAATTTATGATTAATTGGTACTTGTACTTGAGAGTTCCTGTAGGAAACAAAAGTATTGCTAATTAACAGTTTATAAGTTCAAGTTTCTCACTTTTTGTGGGAAACTGTACATATGTACATGTACATGTAGATGGTTCGTGTACAGGAACCATATTACAGTATGTACATGTACATGGGCAAAACAAAGGCCTACCAAAACTTGATTAGCTTTTTTGAGTACTGGACGAATAAGGGTGAAACTTATCATGAAAGAAGACACTGTCTACACATTATTTCAAACATTTACTCCTTTTTTTTTACCATTAACCTTCCCAGACCCTTCAAAATCCACTTTGAGTCTTTTTGGGATTTCACAAAGATAGAGCCTTTTACTTTGCATTGGGCTTGATGTCCTTCAAGTTTAAAGACATCCATGTACTGTTTGTGCTTTTCTTGAGTTTCACCCTAAAAAATAAATTACTTTTTTTGCAGTTTTCCAAGAAAAACTATGTATTCTTATTTTGGCTGAATCACTATTTTTCTAACTATACAAGCATTATAGGCTCGGTGCACAAGTACCCCCTTCACCGTTAAGAAAGGGCAATTTTTTGTGCATACGATCATATGGAGGCGTCTGCATGTAGTCAAGGGTAAAAGCTAGAATTTGATGGTTTTGGGTGTTTTTCCCCTTATTTTTCCCATAAAAAATAGGTGGGGGCTTTCAAAAAAGGGTAGGTACATGTAGGGAAACTGGAAGCAGAAGGTTTTTTTTTTTTTTTTGGCTTTATAAAAAAAAAAGACCAAATTAAAGCCTTCAACTTCAGAAGGGCTAGCAATTAAGTGTAATTTATTTTTTTCACTTGATTAAAAGTCATCAAGGAGCGAACAGCCGCAAATTACCAATTACAAGATGAATTACGCACCAAGCGAACCATGCATCAATTCAAATTGTCTCATTAAGTTTCAGAATTGATGTGATAAAAAAAAGGAAGATCAGTTCAAGGTTTTTGCACTCTGTTTTGTTCTGGTGTAAGGTCTGTCTTCTTGTTTCATAAAACCACTAGCACAAGGACAATTTATATTGCTGAGCATAAAACTTTGTAAAAAAAAGTGGCGACACAGCAATGAAAAGTTTTATACACTGGATTTGCAAGTTTCAGCAGTGAACAACACTGAAAAGTTAGCTGAATGTTTTTGCCTGTTAACCCTAGCTTTTGTACATTTTATACAATACACATTTCATGTGCAATAAATTCGGTATATATAATCTTTTTCTTTATTATTTCATAGCGAATAAAAATGCAAAATAAATGAATTGTCATTGTCGTTATTAAATAGTCATACCAGACACATTTGAAAACATCTGCTCAAATAAAAAAAAAAATATGTCCAAGTTCAGAGATTCATCAAAATTATCGTGTAAGTAGAATAACCCAAAAAGGCAGTAAAAAAAAAACAACTAAAAGTCACTTCAGAAAAAAAGCTTATTTCCCCCCCCTCCCCCGCCCCGCTGCTCCGCCTCCCAAGAAGGTCCTCTGCTAGTCAAGAGGGTTGTATTACACCAAATATGTGCTCATAGGAAGCAAAGCAAAATCGGACAGAAAGAGCGCCACCTTGTGACGCTCAGGAGCAAGGTGGTAATGTTTTTTTCACTGGAAATTAAAGATTACGACATCTACATGAAGGACAATTTTCTGTTCCATTTTACCAGAGCTAGGTAGCCATGTCAAATTTTTTTATATCCCCCTCTCCCAAAACCACCCCTAAAATGGTTGCCAATCCCTGGGCCCCAGTCTGAATGTAACCCTCTGCCTCTGTGCGAAATAGACCTACAAAGTTGGATTTTTTTTACAAAATCGCCTGAGTTTGAAGCCACTAGTCACAAATACTTGATAAATATCTTTCCAATTAATCCCAATTATAGACCGCATGGACCTCTTAAATACCCGTGGGATCACAAAATATTAATGAGCGCATTAATTTACAGCCTTTTGGTGGTATGCACCCTTTGATAACACTTTTGGGGGCCTCTTGTGAGATAAACTGGACTCAAGTCAAACTGAAATACAGTAACCACCTCAAAAAATGAAAGGTGCGTGCTTGCTTTTCTTAAATGGTGCTACAGTGTGTCTGCTGCTACTGCTTTCTGCTTAGCGTTATTCAAAAGCGCGCACATTGGCAGTGACAAACTCAGGTCAAAAGGGTCATTTTCTTCTCCTGAAAATTACTTGTTATTAATGAGCTCGCGCCCATTAATTTACAGCCTTTTGGTGGTATGCACCCAGAGGTGGCGCTCTTTAGTGTTGCTGCAAATCTTGGCAGTTGCCAATCATTTGACAATTTTATGTGTGTAACGTTAGGTCTGCATGTAAAGTTGGGACGGTCCCAACTATCTACGCTGTGTGGCATGAGGTCACCTTAAGGATGAAAGTTCATTAGCATACATAGTGCATTTTCATCTGTTGCTATGTGTTACCATTCAGAACTCCAGACTCAAGAACTATTCTGGTTTATTTTTTTTTAAAGCTATAGTCCATCATTTGCAGCCATCCGAAAAGTAACTGGCGTAATTATTGTTGAAAAACATACTTGGTTGAAAGATAGTACTTGTTAGTGGACTAAACTCCCTGTGAAATTATTCTTTCTGGCAAGCTGTCATTTTGAAGTAATCAACGAAAGAAGACCTTTCCAACGGTGCGTCTTAAGACGCACTGTAGGAACATTTAAATTAGTAGTTCGTTTTGTTATTCGGCGAAGCGCGCGCAAGCATTGGCACGACACACACGCGCGTGCGGTTGCTATAATTTGTCGGATCAGTGCGCGACATCGCGTATAGCTGCAATCGGCTCAGTGAGAATGTGTCTCGGATGCTGAATTCAGGCCAATTCAAAACATGATTCAGCAACTTTTGATTTGAAATTGAGATCCTAGAATGCTGTTTTTCTCGGAATAAACAGCTGAAGCAGAGCTGAAACTTCATCAGGTTAGTTGTTCAGTATCCTTCATTAGATTTTGAACACTTTTCGTTGCTTCAAACGAACAAAATGCACAAATTACAAATGATGGACTATAGCTTAAACGGGTCCGTGAACAAGAAAGATGGAAGTCCTGGATATCCGCGCCAACCTAAGCTATAGTTGGGATGAGGCTACACAATGTATTGCAGTTGTAATATAGATTCACACGTTTCATAATTATGCATTTATTTATATGGAAGTATATTTACAGGTGAAACTCCTAAGCGGGTTTGCGGGAGGCCAGGGAGGGGGGGGGGGGGGACTCCTCAGGGCATAGCTTTGTGGATGGGTGTGGGGAAGGGGTATTCAGGTATCGGGTTGGGTAACTTGGCTGGGGGAAAAGGACAATGTTATTTTGTTTGACCACACTTTTGCCTATCTACGGTAAAATTTTATTCTTGTATGCATAGTGCCTGAAATTAAAATATTAATATTAATAAGTGCAGATCAGCGAACTATGTCACTGCTTTAATAGTAAACACGGAATAAGAGTCTCACGAGGTAAATGCATAAATGTGAGTTGTAATGCAAACTTTTACGTAGATCCTTCACAGTTCGTACAGTCTTCGTGGTTCAGTTACTGTCATTTCCTGCGCCATTCATTAAGTGTCTGATTTAAAACCAGAGTTAGCGAAGTATCCTGCTTGAAAGATCACACTGAGTAGTTTCCTTCAGCTGTTGGTGTTGGTTGATCATTCTGAATGAAGTGAGCGCCGATGAATCCTTCCAAAAGTTAATAAGTTTTTTTTTTTATCTAGACTACAGACGTACATTGAAAATTTAAAGTCTCCAAGATTAATTTAAAGGGTACATGTATATCAATTTAAAAGTTCAAACCAGAAGCATTACTCATGCCGAATGCTTCAATCTGAGTCAATAGGCTTTCTTCCAAACAGTGTCTCAGTCTTGTATGATGTACATTAGGCCGAATTTCTGCACATAAGTTGCATTTTGCAATTTTATTTTATTGTATGCCGTTTTAAAACTTGTAAAGTTCAGTGGCTGTGGCAAAGTATCCCTCTGGACCCTTTGCTTCGCATTCTCACCTTAATGTGGATATGCTGTCACACACACTGAATTTCAAATATCAGTTGACCGACTTGGAACTAACAGTCCTAGTAAAGTTCACAAAAAGCATTTGTGTGAATTCACTTTTGTGGATGAGTTCATGGCTCGTACCGTACTACCAATATGGGAAGCCACTGCCACTTTAAACCCGTCGGATCTTCATTTCACAATTGATCAGTACCGCAGGGATCTTCAGCCAGCATTCTATTGCATGGCAAGGGGTGTCGGCATTCAGGTTAATTTGCTCATCACAGTCGACATTTTGAAACCACCATCCGCCTCCTGTTTGGGTTGCGCAAGCAGATCCGGCCCCTCGGTCCAAAGTTGAAAATGCCATGCCATGGTGGTTGCTGAGGATGTCGGAGAGATTGCCTGAGGGATAATAGTTGCTTATAGAGAGTGTGTACTCTGGGCTGGTAACACGGAAAGGGAAGTATGTGGCATATCTGTACTCCTCAACCTTGTTAGTCGCATCCCATAACCGCAGACTCACGCGCAGCTGCCATGTGCCATCTGCGGTAACAGTAGCCAAGTTGTCGTTTCCCCACCAGAAATTGTCACCGGTGAGGCTGCCAAATCCATTCTTGTATTCTTCAAAGGTTTTGTTGAAAACCTGTCTGCTTTCCCAGTCTGTGTAATTGCGTCGCTGGAACACAATCCAGCCTCTTCCGTCACTGTCCAGTTCGCAGAGCACATTGATGCCTGTCGGGATACCAAGGGGGTAGATTGTTGCCGTGGTTTGCCCAGTTCCGTGACTGATATCGTTGTCATACTCTGGACAGTAGCTTCCAAGATTTTGTGGCACCAATTCAGGATTTCCATTGCTGTTGCTCACCACCGTTATAGATTGTGACAAAGTTGGCGTCAGCGGTTCTGTCGACTGTTTGTTGCACCCCAGTGCCGTCAAGATCTCGCTTTTTTCATCGGCAGCTATTATTGCGGTCTTGGACAGAGGTGCCTGAACCAACCGTCCCTGTTGCGACTTGGCCACGTTCACGCCACCAGGCAGGATGCGAGTGCATTTGCAGGGCTGGCTGTGCGGGATAACCCACTGCGGATCATCACCGTCACTGCCTCCTAACTGCTGCCCAGAGTAGCAGACATCGGCAGTTGCCAGTGCGTTAATTGCTATCAGTAGCACGGCAAATATACCAAAGCTTGCCATTTCTCTGTACCTCAACTCCTACACTTGAAAATAGAGTAGAATGCGGCTCAAAAAATTATCACGTAGAGCAACTGATGAACAGTCACAAGGAAATGAACAAAGTCTGAACAAGAGGAGACTTAAATACAATTTGTAGCCAAAGAAAATTAACGACCAATTAGCCCTAGAAAGTATTGCTTGGCAAAACCAACTGCCATCATCAAGGAGTGCTCGTATATCAGTTGTGCTCTTGATTAAGTTTTCAAGGTAAAATCCCCCAAATTGAAGAAGATACTAATCAATAATTGTAATTAACGACTAATTAGTACCGTACTTGTACTTATTAGTACAAGAGGAGACTTACTGATACAATTTGTAGCCAAAGTAAATTAACGACCAATTAGCCTCAGAAAGTATTGCTGGGCAGAACTATTGCCATCATCAAGGAGTGCTCGTATATCAGTTGTGCTCTTGATGAGGTTTTCAAGGTAAAAGTCTCAAAGTTGAAGAATATGCTAATCAATCATTGTAATTAACAATTAATTAGTCCTTGTACTTTGAGAGTTCCCGTAGCAATTAACAGTTTATGAGTAAAAGTTTCTCAGTTTCAATGGGAAGACGGTTACGTGTACATTGGTCAAATCTTACCAATAAAACAGATTCTATTTTTTGAGTACTGGACTCATCAGGGTCAATCTTTAATTTGCAACTTTGTCAACCTTAACCTCGGATCCTTCAAAAACCACTTTTGAGTCTGTTGGGGATTTACAAAGGTAAAGCCTTTTACTTTGCATTGGGCTTGATGTCCTTCAAGTTTAAAGAAGTACTGTCTGTGCTATTTTTTAGTTTCACCCTGAAAAAATCCCTTTTTTTTCTTCCTTATTGCTATTTTTCTAGCAATACAAACATTATTGGCTTTTAATGAGACATAAGAAAAAAATATTGGCCCCTCGCATTTAGTTATGAAATATTTTCTGAACAAATTTTGAATTTTTTGTACCTATGGAATTAGGGATAAACATTCCTTTAAAGCTGTCCATACGCTAAAGGGTTTAGTCAACTTCTGAACGCTGGGCATTCAAATGAGTCAATTGAGTCTTCAAACAAAAAGCACAATTATCCAGAGCAGCCTTTTTCGACGTCTAGCAATTAAGTGTAATTTATTTGTTTTTACTTGAGTAACCCAACAGCTGCAAATTACCAATTACGAGATGAATTATGCCCCAAACGAGCCATGCATCAATTCAAATTGTCCCATAAATTTTCAGAATCGCCTTGAAAAAAAAAAATCCTTCATTACCAGCAGTTCCAGGTTTTTGCACTTTGCTTTGTTTTTGTATAAGCTGTCTTCTTGTTTCATTTCATAAGACCACAAGCACAAGGAAATTAAATAAGCTGATCACAAAACTTTGTAAAAACTAGTGGCACGGATAGCAATGGAAATTTCTATGCGTTGGATTTGCAAGTTTCAGAATTGAATTATGCTGATAAGTTACAATGTATTTAGCTCATATCAACGTTCTTGCCATTTAACCTTAGCATTTCCAGAAAATGTTAAAAAAATTTAGTGTAGTGTAGGGCTAACATACAATACAAATAAATATGTACAATTTAACCACATCACGCTGGGATTAGTTTTGCGGAAAATTTTGTTTTCGCAAAATGCAAAACTTTCCAACCAACTTCTATATACAGCCAAACGCCACAAATACTGATTCGCAAGAGTCATTTCAACAGTATTTGTACGATATTTCTTGCCGAAACCTCATATGATTCCATACTCCGAGGGTGCAGCACTGGAGCGTAAATTGTCGAACAACAGGCCGTGCACAACGGCCAATTCAAGATCAACACACGGTCCGCCTCCACAGACTTCATGGACTTTGTGTGTGTGTACAAAAGGCATGAGGGATTAGCGTGTTTAGACATCACCCAGAGGCGAGTCGAGTAAATCTTGACGTTTAAACCTGTCAGCCGTGCCTGTGTATTACAAACAGCTGGTGCATGTAATCACGTCCTCCGACGCGAACTGGTTAATAGTTCAATATATAATATCGTTCTTTATTGTTTCTTATTGAGTAGGCCTATTTGTGCAATTAATCTATACAGTGAATATAAATGCAAAAGAAACAAAATGGTCTTATTAACATTACATACATTTGTGATTGTCATTATTAAATAGTCATACCAGTTCAATTTGAAAACATGTACTCTAATACAACAACAACAGCAACAACAAAACAGAAGAAAACAATTCATCAAGTGTTGCCTTTGAATTATATCTTATTTCCTAATCAGTCATTATCAACGTTAAAGATGTAAAATATCATTTTTTGCAGAAAGTTAAGTGCAAATGTGAATTATATATTCTCCCTTCTACATTTTAAAATCCCATACATGTGCGCATATATTTTATTGTGAGTGTGAATTATTAAAAGTGCACTTTCTTGGTCTTTTTTTTTTAATCTATATATGTAGCCACAATCCAAATGTTGCTCATGTGTAGTTTTTGTTTGCAGTTTAGAACAGATTCCTGAAATTCACTATTTCCGACAATTTTGTTTTCTGTTGAAATCACTTGGCTGAATAGACGGGGCGAATTTTCATTTCGCTCTTGCACAGGACGATCCCTTCATCATCCTCAGATGAATGAAAGTACTCAGAATAGCAGCGGTCCCCATTATAGCATTCATTTGCAGTGAGGAGCATTTCGGTGCGGGGATTTTGCATGTTGTACCACCAGCCTGTTTCCCCTTGCCGGCCCACTCGGAACACCCCGCCGCCATACGGACTGAGGAAATCGTTGGCAGTGCTGGCCGCTGCGAACTTTCCGAGGACCAGTGTGTTATCCGGGCCCTCTATGAACGCGGAGCTGTATCTGGCAAACCGGTGGATTTTAAGTTTGGACGTAGAAAGCGCGGTGCAGGGCGGATACAAGCTGAATAGCTTCAGTTCACCAACAAGATCAATTTGGATTTCCCACTGGTACCGCGTTTCGCGTGCGTCCCCGGCCCCCTGCATCAACTGCCTCACCAGCTCGTTGCCCAGCCAGAATTCGCCGGTCAGATCCCCGAAACCATCCGAGTAGTCTCGGAGCAGCCGGGTGAAGTTGACGGAGTTGTCGTGGCGACGGAAGATCAGCGTCCAGCCGCCGGCGTCGGTCTCCATGTCGCAGTAGGCCGGCGTGGATGGGTAGCCGGGGATGGTTATTCTGTACACCCCGCTGACGTTGTGGCCAGATTCCAGCAGGGATCGGCAGTCGGTCCCTAGAGTTGACCCAGGTGGATCCACATCAGTACCATCATCTGTTGATGGCTCATTTTCATCAAAGACCGATTCCTGTCAATTGAGGAAAAAAAATCGTCACTGATGCTGTTTCTTGGAAGGGGGTGGGCAAAGTACCAGTAATTCTGAACATTTTCAGACTTTTGTGTGGAATTAAAAAAAAAAATTGGGGGGATTGTATGACCTTCATATAGTGCAGACAATAGGTTTAGGATGAAGGAAGAAGGCTAAGTTGTGTTATGCCGTTTCAAATAACATGTATTATTCAACATACTGCCAAAATTTCATGCATCACAGTAACCAGCATTATTGTCTTGCACCTCATAGGCCCTAGACATAATTACTGCTTCAGGTTTATTCCATCAAAACAACATTCAGTCTCTCAGGATGCATTCTGATAAAACCGTCTTTAAAGTCGGCAATTCAAACTAAAGATGCATTGTCCCTGCTCTTGGACTAATTCAATTTTTCTCTTCCAATGAATTTTGGCCTTTGAATGTTTTATTATAAAGTCACCAAATGATTTTTCTATTGTAAGCATCTGCTACCCGGCATTGAAAAAAAAATGGCAATTTTATTTTGGATTTTTGCACCCACAAGCAGATCTACCCTGCAAGTAGACTGGTTCTGGTCAAGGCTTTATCCATTTTGATAAGGAGAAATTATGCTAGAACTGATTTTTTGTAGGGCTGCCCATTTTTTGGCAATTTATGTAAGTAATTATTCAAAATTTGTAAAATACTGACCTACATGTAGTAATTGTTCCATAACAAAATGTGGGCTGAATTTTTTTGGGTCAGTGTGTGACCAGAACTGTGATTGCAACATTAAAAGTTGATCAAGTTATTTCAAAAGTTGATTTTTGCTCACTTTAAATTCCCAATTTGCAAATTTCTTTGTTTTGTTTTTGTTTTTAAGGTTCTTTATCATAGCTTTTCATGCTAGCTGGTAAGTTAGCTACATCACTTCATGCTAAGCATATGACACCAACTACATGTATGTGTAATTGAAAGTGATTAAACAAGGAGACAAACGAACCTGTAGTTCTGTGGGCTCTTCTAACATTTGATCTTGGTTCCTGTTGTTCATGTCCTCACAGCCAAAAGACATGCGGATGGCATCGGCATTGTCGGAAAAGATCGGATGCAGGAGCTCGGTGAATTGAGGCACGGCGTGCTCTTGGAACGACTCCATGATGATTCCTCCAAGTCGCGTCTGGGTGCAGATGCAAGGGTCTGGAGTGGCCGTGGCCCAACGCCATTTCCCCCCTGCCTTGGGAAAGTCGGGATTGAGCACTAGCCCGATGTTGCAAGCATACCCAGCCCCTGATGTAACCAGGTAAGTTGTTACCAACAAGAGTAGAAGTAACAGATCGGACATGATGGTGTATAATTTGTTTTTATTTTATTCACGCCGGAGCACAAACCGCAAGGCTAGGTTGTCGTCCACGTCTGACTGAATAAGAACTGAAAGAAAACGCTGCAGCCTGCATCAGATAAGCCGAAATGTGTATCGTCATTTTTGATATGTGTAAAGATTTGCTTCAGTGCTGATTATTGTTGATTGCTTTTATAGTATCCATGGGAACGAGCTGTTTGCAATCTCAATTTTAGCCTTTCTGGTTTCTGCCCCACTGAAAATATTGCTGATGGCATGATGTTGGAGGAAAGGCTGTCATATGAAAAAGTATTGATTGCTTTGCAGAAAGGATGATAGAGACCGGCAACTAGAAATATACCTTTGTGTTTGTGAGCATGGCGAGTGCTGGATTTCTTACTACGTCACTGGATATTTCTAACATACCTGTTGGTATTGTAAATGCAAATTATCTTTTGAAAATCATATTCAATAAAAGATGTACTAACTTAAAATCTCAAGCTGTTTAACACCAACATCTCCCTCAGCCCCAAGTCCCCTCTTCCCGCCCCCCCCCCCCTCTCCCCCCCCCCCAAAAAAAAACTCCCTAATTTTCCTTACAAAACAATGTAGGATGGCTGGCTGGTCTTAAACACTTTTCCAGTGTCACGTGAAATTTGGACTCCCATGAAATCCGGTGCCTTTTAGTTTTAACGTTTCATTGGTTGAATGTTCACATTCCTCGCGTAGGCATGTGCAATACTACCAGTGAATCAGTATTTCATAGTCCAAAATTCACACTACACCAGCCCAGCTGCATTTTGCGTGACATCGCACAATACGCGCAACGCACACGCCAATCTCCTTATAAGGTAAAGAGTTGTAGAGGGACATTCCATATTATAGTCAGAGGGGTGTTTCATAAAACATGAAGTAAAACAGTTGAACAAAATGGTTGGCAATGTCTAGTTTTTGACTTGTTTTGGTTTTTGGACCGAAAAGATTTGTTTTTTTTTAACGAAAAAGTATTTATGAATGGGAATAAATATGTGCTTGGTCGGTATTAAACACTCTGTTTAAGACCGGTTGGAGTCTGGAGTGCTGATAATCACCCATCCAGACTCCACCGGTCTTAAACAGAGTGTTTAATACCGACCAAGCACACATTTATTCCCTTATTAAAATATCCATTGTACTGGTGTCTCTGGACCAAGTAAAGTGCGCCATCTACATGTATGTACATGCACATGTATATTTCATTCATGTTGAATTGGATCAGTGGTGCTGTGGCTCTTTCCATCTTTCTATTATACATTGTATACATGTAAATGATGATGACTCACTCCTTTTAAAGTCTCATTGGACCAGGTCATCTTCATGAACTGATGTTCACCTTTTTATATTTCTGTGCACCACCTACATTTTATGGAAGCGAACATTTATACAAACGCTTACATGTTCATTCCTTGCTTTCAACATTTCCAAATATTCCATTCTGAAAAAAAAAATTATACAGTTGGGTGGTTTTACTGTTGTTTTTTTTGTTATTTTTACATCAGTATGTACAGTGTAAAATACTTTTGAAAAAGTAGAAGTGGAACAGATACTTCTGCATCATGCAGTTGAATATGTTTGAAAGTTATCTGCAACTGCTGAGTTGGCATGGAAGAATTGCTATGACTTTTCACACATATCGATTTTGGGGCGGTGGGGGAGCGTGCCTCGTAGCAATTACAGCCATGGTGGCAACAACCGTTTCCTATATTCTCAAAACAAACGCAGAAGTGAGAACAATTGTCCACTTGCTTCATTTACTCCATATTCAGTCCACTGCGCTTGATTGATGAGATGCGGCAATCAAAAGGGGGGAAAAAAAAACCTCATTAACAGCGATGCATGGTATTGCCATGGCAACCAGGGTAAACACATTTCGTCAGTCGTGCTCTTGTCACTAGAAGCTGTCATTTGGCAGTTCAGTTCAACAGTTGTTTTTTTCCTTCTCCTTTTTGGATTTCTCACCTTTTTTTCTTGATTCTTGTTTTGTTTTGGGGTTTTGTTAAATTGGTCTTTTATGTTTTGTTTTGGTCTTTTATGCGTAGGTGTAGGAAAGTACTGAACAAGTGGTGATTTACACTTATAATTGCTTACAACTTTCCTCAGAAAATATTGGACTACAAATGGTCTACCAATTCTGGTACTAAAGTAAAGTCTGTTTCTGTTTGCTCGTAATCTCCAGTTTCCTTGACATGAAACGTCCTGCATGGGATGCCAGTCCATCACAGGCTACTCCTTAGCTACATGTAATGTTGATACACCTTGTTTTATAAGTGACTGAGAAATACATCGCAACATTTTTGCCAATTACATGTACAGTATACGTAAACTTTGGTTTATATACATTGCCGTCATTCTACAAAGAACATGTACATGGGTCGGTGTGTTCATGAGTTGATCGTTCATGAGTTGATCACTCCCGTCGTCTGCAAAGTGGGCGACGCCTGCAAAACGGGCGACAAGGGGCAAGGCCACCTCCTCCATTTAGTGAGCGAAGTGAAGCCTCGTTTATTACTATAGTTGGGTCCAATGTGGTCCCCCCCTAAAAAAACACAAAATCATAAAAAAAACACAAAACAAAAAACAAAATAAAGAAAGAATAATAAAATTTTAAAAAAGTGCTACACTCCCCACTTTCTTCACACGTAGGCCACCTTTGAATTATTTTTTTTTTTTTACATTTCTTGCTGCAACAATAAAAAAGGACAAAAAGCTGCTCTCTGAATCGATCGTTATTTTCTGTCCGCAATTGTTTTGCCTGATTGCCAGCAATCAGAATCAATTGTCTTCGCTTTTCCTGTTTACGGAAGTCCTCCGCCAGCCAAGGTCTTCTACTTCATCTGAGAAGTAAGAAAAAAGTGTACAAAAAAGCATAAAAACCTGTTGCATGATTGATATGGCAGCATTTCTGCCTTGACTTGAGTCGACAACTTTCTTACTCAGAAGTACGTGAGCTGGCCAACTTTGTTTCTGTTGTTGAATTTAACTCGATTCCATTTGGAGTTTATGCCTTTCTGACGAATTTGAGTATAAATGCTGTCTTAAATAAATGTTTTCCCATGAAACAGAAAGAATCAATGTACGTACATGAATAGTTTCAATGCGATAAATAAAAAGAAATGGCTTCTTTGGACATCTTTGGTTTTCTTGTACTTTTCGGCCTGTCCTCGCTGTTCGTTCAGATATCGGCATGTGTATGCTACCCGGGACAAGAACGGAACCCAAGTAACAATGGGAAGCTTGACTGGTTCCTGCCAGTCGACAACCCGTGCGATTGCACCCTGCTCCTCCCCGGTGGCGTTAATGTCATAACCCGCCCGCCACCGATTGGCATCCCCCCTCCCTTGCCTGCTGAGGTAGTGGTCTCACAATTTGGCCAACAGGACCTGCTTCGTGATGCGCCGCTCTGCGACAGCCCCCCTACGGAGACGGCGAGTACTTCTCCCGGGAGGAGGACCAGTCCCCACCAATCGTGGCCCGATTATCAAACTGACGACAGTCCTGGATCACAGTCTGATCACTTGTTTGAAGACTGTCAAGACTTGAAATTAGCCGGGGACCCGACCAACGGAATCTACACCATCACTCCGCTTACATTTGCTGGGCCTGTTGACGCCTTCTGCGATGTGGAGTCGGACGACCACGGCTGGATAGTCATCCAGCGGCGCCATGAGATGATCGATTTCACGCGCGGATGGTTAGACTACAAGAACGGCTTTGGGGACCTGGACGGCAACTTCTGGTGGGGCAACGAACGGCTGCGGCTGCTCACGAGTGTTGGCAGTGTCCCATGGATGGTTCGCATCGACCTCGTCTTGAATGAAGATGAGGCTTTTACAAAAATTTTCGATGTGTTCCGAGTAAGTGGGTCACACTACAACCTCACCTGTTACAATCTTCAGGTCGAGCAGCCTTACGACGTCCTGTACGACGGGACCTCATTTTCAACTGCCCTTGACGGAGGACGTTGCGCTCAGACCCTCGGAGGTGGCTGGTGGTTCAAGGAACCCGACGTTCTGGATCTGATAACTGACTGTTTTGAACTAAACCCAGCGCTCCTGAACAGTCAGATCATGAAGTGGCAGGGTAAAGAGTATGTGATATTAAAAAGCGAGATGAAGATACGTCGTGGAGAACCGCCAATCTCCTATTGAATGTGGGAACAAATGCAGACACTTCATTCAAAAGTATTGTTGCACTAATTAAAGGTACGTAGGATCTTTTGCTTTTTGTGTATTTTTGTTGTTTGAAGCAACAAAATTGCTCAAAATCTTAAGTAGAGTGCTTACATAACAACTGACCCGTGGAAGTTTTAGCGCGGTGGATACTCTTCATCAGGCCAAAAAAAAATATATTCTGCTTCCGGTTTCCCTACCTACCGTACACGTATGTACCCTATTCTGACAGCCCCTACCCTAAATTTTTCTGGGCAAAATGAAAAATAACGAACCGAAAACCATCAACCTTTTACCCTTGACAACACGCAGACGCCTCCATATGATTGTGCACACACAAAATTGGCCCCCCAAAAAAAATCCCTACCTACCTACCCTATTTTCAAATGCCATGTAATCGGAAGCAGAAATGTTTTTTTTTTTTGGCCTAATGTGAATTTCATTGCTAACACACATGGAAAAAAAGTAGCGAGCACTCTTTTGTAAAAACCACTTTCAATGATTGTGTTCTTCTGAATGATAGCATTTAATTTCACAAGGTATTTGGTACTGTCCCTATCTTCCCATTATGCAAGGTTTTGCCTCATTCCGGTTAAAGCTACAGTCCATCATGTGCAGCTATTGAAAAACTAACTGACGTAATTAGTGTTGAAAATTATACTTGGTTGAAAGATAGTAAGGGGACTAAACTCCCAGTGAAACTATTCCTTCTGGCATGCTGTCATTTTGAAGAAATCAACGAAAGAAGGCCTTTCCATCCAACGGTGCGTCTTAAGACGCACCGTTGGAAATTTCAATTAGTAGTTCGTTTTTTATTCAGCGAAGCGCGCGCAAGGGTTGACACGACGCACATGCATCGTGCGCCGTTGCTTTAATTTGTCAGTTCAGTGCGCGACATCCCGTAGCTGAAAT